CTTGCATGGACCAGAGGCCTCTCCCCTTGACGTCCAGTCTGGCCTGAGGGTCAGTGTTGGCGGCCCTTGGAAGAGCTTCACCAGCAAGGGGTTGAAGAACAGGCTCCGTCTCCACGGCATTGCACACTCTGCCAAGAAGGCCGGCAATGTAGTCCCGGACATGGTTGTGGCGGATGATGGGGAAGCCGCCACGTCTGCATATCATGGCATGGTCGGTGGTGAAAGGCACACCACATAAGCAGGTGTCAGGGATACCAAGAACAGGCCACCCGTAGCGTGCAGCAAGAGCATCCTGGAATGACCTCCTGTCGAGGCTGAAGCCGTGTGCAGCGATGGGCAGGCACGATAGCCACGAGCTGGCACCGCGGTCGCAACTAGCCTCCAAGGAGCGCTGCTCATGGTCGCTGAGGTCTGCACTGATGGTGGCAGTAGTGTCGGACCACAGGGTACGGAGTTTGGCACGGCCCTGGAGCTTAGCATTGCGCACGGTGTCCTCGTCAGTGGCCAGCAGTAGGGACTGGCGCATGATGTTGGCCTGGAGCTCACTGGTGACTGCTACTGATGTGGCGTGCTGGAGTGGAGCGATAGACAGGGGGGACAGCAAACCAAGACCTCCAAGGCGAGGGGGCAGCGACAGCAGCTGGCGCAGTGGGGGAGATGGAGGAGCAACGCCTGTAACAGCTGGGATGAACTCCTGGGCGATGACACACTCCAGAGCTTCAAAGTCAGCAATGTCATCAGGTGTGGTTCGCATAGCATACGTCCACCTATGACGCAGACCGTGTGCAAACGCGGCGAGGGCAGACTGGGGATCAGTCTTTGCGAACTCTGTGAGCACTGTAAGCTGGCTGCACCATTCCTCCAGTCTAGCTGAGAAATGCCGTCGCTGGAACTCCTCTGTGCCGATGGCAGCGCCGAGGTATGGCCGACCCTCTGCAGTGATCTTAATGCCTGTGCCGGAAAAGATCTCCTGGGCCTCTGGCAAGCTGGATGGCTTCACCACTAGCCATGTCTTGGCAGCATTCGGGTGATACCCAAAGTGGGGGCCAAGATCTGTGAGTAAGTCCCACCAGTGGCGCACAGCACGCAATTTACCACCTGCTGCAGAATCGTCAGCATACCATATCTGGTGAACACGACTGGTAGAGGCATCCAGAGCAGCCAACAGCGGAACGAGAGCGACGGCATAGATTGGCATAGCCAGAGGATCCCCCTGTGTAGTGCCCTCCAGAGACAAGACCACCTCACCATGCACAAACAACTTAGCTGCTCTGCGGTAGAAGTTGGTAACAGCGACTGAGGCAGCAGGGCATATGATGCGGATGTTGTGGAGCATCACTTGCCGGTTGAGTGCATTAAATGCGTTAGACGCATCGACGAGGAGAATTCCTTGGCAGTCATCATTGCCGTAGAGGTCCGCCATGGCATGGATTGCGGCTTCTGCACCTGCCTCCTGGCCAGCACACACTTGGAGAGCACCAGCACTTTCCCGGATGTCTTGCTTGATGACGGCAAGAATGGCCTTGGCAATAAAGCGTCTAAGAACTTCACCGATGCCAATGGGCCTCACCCCAGGGTTCTTATCCAAGGGTATTAATCGGCCAGCTACAAGAGCTGAAATACCATCTGGATCTACATACTCCGTGGCAAGACGGCGGGTGGTTGCGGCAACGGCTGCACACAGATCGGAAGAGGCACCGCCGAACGAGCAGCACATTCGTCGCCAGGCAGTCGAGTCGAGGCCGGACACACCAGCAGCACCAGTCAGACGGAGTGCTATGTTCTTGATGAAGCTGGCATCGATGCTGGCAAACTGCACTACTTGAAGCTGCGCAATTGGGCCCTGCAATAGCACATCTGCATCTGGGATGGGGCAGGCAGGTGGGTGCTTTTCCTTGAGCGCATCCAAGGTGGTACGGCCATCACCGCAGTCAGCATTTAGGGGCAAAACACCACCTTTCCCTTGGTTGGACAGGCAGCGGAGAGCACCCTTCACGTTGCCAAGTAGCATTAACCTGGTGAAGCCTTTGCGTGCTGAATCATCACCCGCATTCTTGCTACGTGCAGAGGGTGAAGCAAGGGATCTCTGAATGGCGAGTCCTTCCTGCAAGAGACTATCAAGGTCACCTGCTTGCCACAACTTCATCCGCCGGCTGACACAGTCAAGATTCTCGTGGCTGCGCGAGTTACGGTGAGGACGCTGCAGAATCAAGGCAGGCATGATCATGCAAGCTCTCAGTGCAACAGCTTCTAGGGCAGACTTCGACGCATAAGCGTGGAGGAGTCGAGCCATCTCACGGACAAAATCCTTGCTAGCACTACCGGACGGCAGAGAGAACAAATTCCGTTGCCAGTTGCTGGTCTTGGCATAGACACGTTCTACAGTAGGGACGAAACTACCTGCATGGACGTCACCCCATTTGAACACAGGGTTTGTGGATGGTGGGAAGTCGGGCAAAACAGCATGTGATGCCACCACTGACGCCAGAAGTTGCTCAGCACGGGTGGCGTTCACGTCAGGTGTGGGTGCAGTGTTGGTACTGGTGGGGCTCCGCTGTCGACGGTCACGTGTCTGAGGCGCAACAAGGATCGGGAGATCGCTTGCATGTGCACTTGCTGCAGACGATGGCGATGCCCCGGACGGCGTTGTCGAACCAGTGGATCTACGATCGTTCAAAACGTCATCAGCATGCTGAGTTGCAGGCCGAGTACAAGTGACCGAGTCAGTTGGTTGCGACAGTGAGGTAGCTACGGCGTGGTTCAGCGTACCGGTACAACTTTTCCCAGCATCCCAAATCCCTGCAGGACAGGACGATGGAAGACTTGTTGCTGATGGCAGATCTTGGTTTTGACAGGCTCCATGGCGCGATGCGGAACAATTGACACATTTCTTGCCAGCGGACACACAACTGCAGTTTACACAGCGTCCCTTCTTACCACATCCACAGCAGTAGCGCGACATTCTCTCGAACCGAGTTGGGGATTCCCGAGCAGAGCTCTCTGGGCAGTGCTGGCGCGAAGCTCTACAACCGTGTTCAACGGTTCTGGTGGCAGCCAAAATCCTGACGACTACGAGCGCTGCACAACTACCTGGGAAACAGAGGCAAGGAACAAAACTACTACTACGGCGGCTACTAACTACGCCTCCAGCCCAGCCTGATGCTGGGCTGGGGCCAGTGGGGGAGTCGAAGAGCTGAGCTCGCGGAGCTTCAAAACCTGCTTCCGCACTCGACTCGACAGTCCACGGCTTATTATTATTATTATATAGTGAAGATTATTATTATTATTATTGTACGAAGTAATGGTTGCGACTTCGGCGATGATTTGTAAGAAAGGTTTGCTCCCCACACCGGAGCTCGCGCTATTCCGCCGACTTTACTTGACACTTGACTGACTCACGACTGCCATCCAGAGCGTGAAAATTTGATAGCCTGTAGAGTTTCGGGCGCTGAGTCGAATGGTCTTGGTCCGAAGTCTCTACGAGAAAGCGTTCTTGAGATATTTCAATTTTAGCCACGCCCCATACCAATGTATGTGTGACGTCATTGTGGCAATGTGCGAAAATACTTGGATTTTGAATCTCACTTTCTTCAGGACGAAAGTCACTTCAGAAAGTAGTTTGCCAAGTCGCCTGAGCCGCTGCAATGCCAAATTGTTGTGTTGTTGATTGTGCCAGTATCACATCATCCTCCTGGGGTTAGTTTTCTCAAATTCCCAAAGGATGGAGACCTGGCAAAGCGCCGAGATGTTGCAATGCGTCGTGAAAATTTCAAGCCTATTTTCGCAGCACGAGCTATGTTTGCTCGCTGCATTTATGATCCAGAGGGACTTGAGAGCTGAGTTTTGACGAGTACGCCGTCCAGGAAAGCCCTCATCAGTGTACCAGTGCCCTCCGAACCGTGAGCCTCCAGCAAAGCGAACTCAACAAGCTGCAACTGAGAAAGCAGGGCGAGATACGTCCCATCAGGATCAGAAGAGTACATCACCCCATCAACTCCGACTGCAGCTAGCTGATGAACGATATTACCCCAGTAACTTTGCGCATACCAGTACTCAAACTGTGCACATCTGTCATCAACTGGGACGCAAACAGACAGACCCCCAGCAAGTACGAAGGTTACAGAACTGTTTGCTTGCGATGTGCAGGCAGCATGCACGACGAACTGTCTCACCAATCCTGCCAAACTGAACCAGTGTAAGTTGATTGCGTGGATATGTCTCTATTTATAACAGCTACCCTACTTCTAGGCATGGTTGCATGAATACCATATCACTCAGAGCAGTTGTTAGAAGTCTGGACAGCCTTGGAATAGTGCAAGTAAAGTGAAACAAAAATATATTACACTCCGAGTTCCACGCTTGCGGGATCAACAGGCCAAAAAAATCTAATTTCGAACAAGGAATGGGTTCTGGTTGTATGCGAAAGAAAAGTAAGTGAAGACCTATTGTGCAAGGAATACAGTGGGAACTACACATATTATACATATGCACTCACACCATCACCCACATGCGCGCGCGTGCGTGCACACACACAAACACAACAACACACACACATACGCACCCACATACTCAAACTCACTCGCACGCACGCTAGCCTAAGGATAGTACATATGCTGTAGTAGTGGTATACTTAGTGAAATGACTATGTGTACATCTAATGACGCCGCCACTCCACGCCAGAAGACAACAAACATCTGCTGCAACATTTTTGCTCCCGTCTCTTATGGGCAACACAGGGAATGAAACGAACAATGCAATTGAGAACAAGAGTCGTCCTGTACGGTGAAGTTTCCATTTTCTCATACAGCAGTATATTGTCTAAGCAAGTGTGTTTTCTCCACATTCTTTTTGCCATGCAGGTATATCACAGTGTCATGCCAAACTACATTCTCAAACGCATTCGTTTCTCAATTCTGGGGATGATTGGACACGCACATCTCGCAGCTCTTGACGACGTCAATGTCAACCGTCGCCACAGCACAACCAAAAAGACCGTGATAGGAAGGTATAAAGTCCAGTTCTCAAAGCATAAAGAAGACTGTGGCCAAATAGAAAATTATACGACAGAAAGAGCTATGAGTATGTTGACAAGCTCATGTGTGAGGTGGTAGCGGTTGCAAATGGCAACCTCCATGTTCCTGCCTTGGAGAAGCGTGTTTCCCTGCCAAATTCCAGGTGGAAGCCTCCTGAGAAGGCTGAGGTGGTGCAGGATTTGGATATCTTTGCCTGATGGTATTCACAACGCAGGCTGGAAGACGACAACGAACGTGCTTGCCCAATTTGCCGTGTACATAGTGTGTACTGCCTGTGTGCCGCATAGCGTAGAGATCTACACAAACACAGAATGTCATATGGAATGTGTATGATGAGTGCTTGTACGCATACCACATTGCTGTACCGTAATAATTATTATAGTCAAATACTCATTTACTCTACATATGCGCTGTATTGCACCTACCGGTACCTACCTGCACTTTCAGTGCGCGCGCCATACTAATTTAGTGTCCACTGGTACAAAGATGGAGGGTCTTGTAGAATTTACCATAATTGCTGATTTCAAATTGAATTCCAATGATCTGGGGATGAATACTGATTAGGACGCGTTCGATTACCTACTAGTACAGAGATGCCTTGGTCAGAAAGTACAGATTTCTTACTCTCCTGCCAGAATTTGTGCATTATTTTGGTGTACGCTTTCTTGACCCCACGCTTGTACGTTGCATGCCATGGTATACTAGAAAACGAGTTTATTGACAAAGTCTATCGCTTGAAACGATAAAGTATGGGTTCGGGTGTGATCAAATGCACCCATGGTGCTCATAAACTGTGTGCAGTGCTCTCTTCACCAACAGAACACTACCTACCATACTTTGTAGATCTTGTACCAATCCAAGGGAAAATGACAAAGACAAATGTGAGTCATGCATGAAAACTTGTGATAGCACGGTCTATAGTACAGAACACCGTTGTTCGTGCTATGCCTGACAACAATAATTAGTTACACACAAAACATTACGCGCATCGATCCTCACAAGATAAGTCAAGACATACTCGGAGCAAAGAGAAATTTGTTTGTGTCATGCATGAAACTTGTGATAACTACCAGTACAATGTCTTTCTTCTGCGACGCCTACTGTAGTGCGCCTGACAACAATAAATTTCCCCCAAAAAATAAGAATAAGTGTATCATGCTGATACGCGATCCTCACAAGACAAGTCAAGGCAAACTAATTGAGGCTTACCTAATGTCAGACTCTTCTGTCACTGGCATTGGCGGCTTCTGCATGTCGAGATAACCTCGAAGAGCAGTGATGAGCACAGCCTAATGCAAGGATACGATCTCGTAATCTGCGAGGTCCGCTACGCAAGAAACCTTGGGCCGTCTTGTCGACAGCGACGGCAGCATCCTACCAGCAAAATCATTCCCGCGGGCTGGGCATGGCTATACACTTTTGTCCACGCTCGCACCAGTCGGAGTCCCAAACGAATCGAGATTCTGGTGGCCAAGCTACTCGTCTTCTGTCGGACGCAGCTGCTGACGCATCTTCTTCCTCCACATTTGTTACACGCGATGGCAGCTCCTCAGCAGAGTATCTGGGCTCCCTGCCCCAACCATACGCGGCGGTGGGCTGTTGGTCGTCCTCACTGGCCTCAGCATCGCTGCCTTCATTGCTGGGGACAGAGGATTGTTCGGAATCGCCCATCTTCCCTTGAAATACCAACTAAAATTAGTGCTTGTAGACTGGCGAAGAGAAACGACTTTGCCACAATGACGTAGGCAGCCCGTGATGATGTAACCAAATGGCCGCATGACGTCAGGGCGCGGCCCCCGTTTTTGCAATTTCAAAGTGAAATATCTCAAGAACGCTTCGTCGTAGAGACTTCGGACCAAGACCATTCGACTCAGCGCCCGAAACTCTACAGGCTATCAAAGTTTCATTTTTTCGTGGAGTTCCCCTTTAAGAGTAACTCTCCATCACTGTAACATGATACTATATACAGTCAGAAAGTGCAATAACTAGGCACAAAACTGACAGAGTACTGAAACATTCGACGTCCTGACACCCAGCTTCAACACATCTCCGTAGGTGTCAGGACGTCGAATGTTTCAGTACTCTGTCAGTTTTGTGCCTAGTTATTGCACTTTCTGACTGTATATAGTATCATGTTACAGTGATGGAGAGTTACTCTTAACTCGTATCCATACCGGTATGTCTTTTTCTCTTCCACATTTATTTATGGCTCAACATCCGAGTTTCAAATTATTATTATTATTATTATGTAACCATACAATGGCCCACGGCACACACCACCCCTACATTTTTTTAACTAAAAAAGAAAAGCAGTCGTAACTGTAACAGCCACATGGCCAATAAGAAAACCAATAAGATATATCGATAAACACACACCCAGAAGTCAGGGGTGCAGTGGGAGGGTGGGATACAAACTGCACCAACGAAAATCCACTGCGAAGTGACCGGAATGCGGTGAGCACAACATTTTTGCTGACGCAAAAAGTTGTGGGGAAATCCCAAAATCGGTGCGATTTTGCATGAGCCCAAATATTCAAGTAATAGTTACCCACAAAGACACAAGCTTTCCAACTCTCTTTGGCCGTTGGAAAGCGTACCTTGTTTTTCAGTCTGGTCAGTCCCTGAAAGACATGTTGGTGTCTTCCTCGTTTGCCAGTCCAGAGTGCCCCGAGACGTGTAGAGAAGGAAGGCGAAGAGAAGGGGGAGGCCACAGTGGAATGCCGTGCATGTGATGTTGGTATGAGTGATGGTTAGTGTATGTCGCAGAATTATGTGGTCTATAACTCAATGTTTTGTTCCGTTTGTGGAGAGGAGTATGTGGGAGAGACGGAGCGATGTGTCAGGGAGCGAGTCCAGGAACATTACTACCGCCGAGAAGCAAGAGTCTGTGCACAGCAAAAGCCCTGGGGAGAGCACTACGCACTGCACCAACCACTACAACATCCATTATTCCCTTCACATCATCCTCCATACTTCGAAGTACTCGCAACGGAAGTGTCATACGTGAACCGCCGGATAAGGGAGGCAATCCACATCTCGACTCCAGACGCCATCCTAAGGTGAACCGTGATCGTGGTTGGGTGTTGCCACCTCACTTGTTTTTCTCCTCAATCCTGATGATGGCTCCTGGCCGAAAATTTGATTGAGAATTATTTTTGCAGCGAAGAGACCACTTGGATTGAAGATGGTGTGTGTGTGTAAGGTTTTTCATTATCTTGTCTAAACAATACAGAACGCTTGCCAACCGGTACAAAGAATGGTGTTGTCTCCTACATAACAGCAATATCGACGTCCGCCACGCCAAGAGTCTTTACTTCGCCACCGTTGTATGCTCGAAGTATGCGGTCACTGGAGCGGGTAGGCTGCACCACATCATCCGTGAGAATGGGAGACTCTACGTAGATTTACGTGTTTCTCCAGTGTCAAGAAATCCCTCGCATGGCTTGCCATTCACCATGCATCACGGCATCAGTGTCGTGGTGAACAGGCCTCGGGCTCGAAGACTGGATCGAACTCGACGTAACAGAGGAGTAGAGGTGATGATCGGAGAAGATCTCGCTATTAATTATTACGATCATACCGGAGAGCGCGTCATGTATTGCCGGTACGCAGCAACAGAAACTGACAAACATGCTCGCCGGCCGTCCAGTGGAGACAACATTCTCCGTCGAGGTTCTGTTCCAGTACGACATCCACGTCCTACCAGGAAACGAATACTGTTTACCTGAAGCAGCTCATAGTCATATCCGAAGAGGCCAACCTGTCTGTCGGAGTGGAGTGCTACATGACACAGTATCAGCAGAACGTAGTGCCTGGTATTTTCATTGCTGCCAGCGACGTCAACCATGGTCAACGGCTGGGGCAGAAACTACATCGTCTGAGTATTGAGTAACCCCAATGTTGCCGTCCCAGGCAGAGACTCCAAGGCAGGACCCGACGGGTAATCTACCGCACGACCCTCGTGCTCAACCCAGTCCACCTGGACCATACACTCCAAAACCGAGCGAGCTACCGCTCCCAGCCTCGAACCACTATGCCAATCCGGTGCATGCAGACACCAGCGGCTCGAGCAAAAAGAAGCACACGCCACACCCGACTGTGATGGCTCGCCTTCACACATAGAGCGCGCAGAAACACAGCGGAACATAGACCTCTACGCGGCTCTACACCACGGAGGCAACCCCAAGCGCGGTGGCACCATGCGAGATACGGTCCGTGTCAGTCGACTACAATGTAGTCCAGTCCTGGACCATATCACCAAGCTACTTCGAAGGACCAGAACGGCTGAGGTCCAGGCGGTCAAAAGCAGCTGCAATCTCCAAAACGGTGGAGGCAAAATAATGCAGGCGGCAAGGATCTAGGAAACAGCAGACAAAGCTTTAAAGACACGCAGCCGCTCGTCCAAGCGGCGGTGACGTCATGACACCGACAACAATTTAAAAAAAAATTAACAATAGAGGGCACTGTACAGAATGATGCTACACAAAAGCGACTAAGACATGATTTTCAACAGCGACCATACCACGCTTAGTATGAAGAAAATTTCTTCGGAAGTAGACAAAATCACCAACTGCCAGCGCTGGATCGTTGCACTCACGCGTACTAGTGGAATGTAATCAAATTAATACTATAAAAAACATCGTGAGTAAAGGACAAGAATACAGTCATCATAGGTGTTCCTACACGTCACTACTGACACTAGCACAACAGAGCAGTAGCCATGGAAACCAAGTTCATGTAGTAGTGTAACCATGGTGGCTAGTAGGGTCTGTAGAGAGTATTGGGTTGCATAGAAAATGATCGATTTCTTTAGCCTTTAGAAATGCTACGTGGAACAAGGAAACTAGCGACATTCGAGGGACAACAGTACCGGGATCCTAGAAGACGCTCCGGAAAGGAAAGCTTGAATAAAGAATGTGTCCGGTTGTTCACGGAAAGACGGTTACAGGCAGGAAGTAGTAAAATACCGGTATTTTACAACTCCCTGGTTACAGGCGTACCAAGAAGGTACAGCCGAGAATACAACATGAAAGAAAAAAGGAAAAAAGTGTTGAAAAGCAAGCGGAAAACAAGGGGTGGATATTCTGCATGTATACACTATGTACAGATGTTGCCTACTGTGGAAACTAGCTTTTCTCCGGCTGTTTCTGTTTGAACTTTGGCTTGTCGATCCACTCGAAGTGCTCACAGCGAGCGTTCGGATTGTCCTTAGACCCGGCGGGCCTCGCACAGACGTAGAACTTGCGAAACTGATTGGGACCGGCCTTGTTGACGGTCCGGAGCACGCAGGGCTCCTTGTGTCCGTGGCACAGGGCCTGCTTGGGCGCGCGCGCCGTGAACAGATTCTTCCACTGAGTGCCAGTACGGTCAGCAGCAGCAGAGGCAGTCGCTGCGTGCGGCAGTGACTGTGCTTGAACAGGAGAGGAGCTGCAGTCAGCATCAGAACGTGTTACTACGTTACTACACGTGATCGTTGACGAACTCTGCTGAGCCTCACCTGTAGTGTTGCTAGTCGCGAGCGCTGTCTCCGCTGGCTTTTTACGCTGGAAGAAGCCGGAGATGGACGCCTGCTGCGGTCTCGAGCACGCTTTCTTCTTGTCCGGCGCCTGCGAGCCGTGAGGAGGCGCGGCTCGCTTGACCGGTGCAACAACGGGCTGTCGCTGAGACGCCCGCGCTGGTGGCGCGGCACAGCGTTCCGAGTCCTGGCTGCGCGCTGCACCGGTGGGGGTTGAAGCGGTGCTCAGTGCCGTCGTCCTTCTCGGCGCTCGCTTGAGATAGCTGATCAGCGACTGCTGCTTGCCGGAGAACTCGGGCATTCTGCTAGCAGCCAGCGAGGGCAGAGCAGCTGGTGGTGAGACCAAACAGCACGTGTTTAAGTACACGGGGCAATGGTCAGATCCCTCCACCTGCAAACACACCAGCAAAACAAGGTATAGTAAAACCAGTGACTAACCACCACCCCTTGGGCCCAGAGAAAGCGGTCTTTAGTGGCAGGTGGTCCTTAGTTAGAGGTTTGCATTGCATAACCATAATTATATGAATGTGAGACCGTCCGTGCCTAGCGAAGTGGTCTTTAGTACCACGCTGGTCGCTAGTCACGGTGGTCTTTAGTTACAGGTTTTACTGTAGTACCAGGCTGGTCGCTAGTCACGGTGGTCTTTAGTTACAGGTTTTACTGTAGTACCAGGCTGGTCGCTAGTCACGGTGGTCTTTAGTTACAGGTTTTACTGTAGTACCAGGCTGGTCGCTAGTCACGGTGGTCTTTAGTTACAGGTTTTACTGTAGTACCAGGCTGGTCGCTAGTCACGGTGGTCTTTAGTTACAGGTTTTACTGTAGTACCAGGCTGGTCGCTAGTCACGGTGGTCTTTAGTTACAGGTTTTACTGTAGTACCAGGCTGGTCGCTAGTCACGGTGGTCTTTAGTTACAGGTTTTACTGTAGTACCAGGCTGGTCACTAGTCACGGTGGTCTTTAGTTACAGGTTTTACTGTAGTACCAGGCTGGTCACTAGTCACGGTGGTCTTTAGTTACAGGTTTTACTGTAGTACCAGGCTGGTCACTAGTCACGGTGGTCTTTAGTTACAGGTTTTACTGTAGTACCAGGCTGGTCACTAGTCACGGTGGTCTTTAGTTACAGGTTTTACTGTAGTACCAGGCTGGTCACTAGGCACGGTGGTCTTTAGTTACAGGTTTTACTGTAGTACCAGGCTGGTCACTAGTCACGGTGGTCTTTAGTTACAGGTTTTACTCTACATGTATGTGTCATCTCCGAGAGAGGAGCACCTGATCCCAACCCAGTGGCTCCATACTAGTAACACTGTGAGCAAAGGCTGGTCAAAATGTTCGCAGAAACATTTAGCAAACATGCGTTTAAATCAATGGCCTCTTGCCTCATTCTATCATCCATATGCTCCTGTAGTAGCTCACACTGTACCCCATCGTAATCCCATCCCTGCGCATGTGGCTTCTACCTGCTTACCAAACATATCCATACTGGCCAACCCTCCCGTTTTTCCCGGGAAAGTCCCGGAAAATCAACACTCCTCCCGGGGTCCCGGGGATTTCAAGCAAGCTCCCGGAAAAACCGCAGTTTTGTCTAATACAGGATTTTCCTGAAAAGTCCATGGATTCGCCCCGAATGTCCCGGTTTTTTTTGAACTTTTTTCAAAGGTATGTACGGTGCTCATTCGCACTTCGAACTGTGCACAGCACTTTCAAGACCTTACCATACCTAGCCTGCAAGATCTGCACTGACAAAGTGACAGGCGGGTGCCGACTGATCAAACTGCACTACAGGGTCAAACTGTGCTGTACGCACAGCTGCAGAGTCGAACGCTTTTTTTGGCGGGAAAAGCTCTTTTCACTTGTTTTTGTGCCATCCAGGGATTTTGAGAGAAATCCAGGGATTCTGCATGTCTTGTCAAGGGATTGAGATTTTGGTGGTTGGTCAGTATGCATATCCCAAAGTTCACCAAGGAACTGGGATGCATAATGAGAAGAGATCTGTTCGGTGAACTGTTGGGAACAGCGATGTAGAGACTGCGAGAGGTGTTGAATTTGTTGTTCCAGAGATGCGGCTGCCTTGAAGAGGACCAGACAACTATCATCAAAAGAATTTATGTAAAGAAATTCCAGAACTGGCTTCATACTCTCCCTTCGTGAGCAGTTCTGGAAGGCTTCTCGAACTTGCAGAATGTTGTTAGTACTTGTAACACCCCTGTACTGCAGAGAGATCCAAGATGTCTGTCATCTCCGAGAGACGAGCAAATGATGTCAACCCAGTGACTCTGTCTTCCTACCCTCGAGGACGCCCTGGCAGCGAAAGTTCTAATACTCGTTCGCCGCTGCATCCATGGCCGTTCAAGTGTCCTGTTTCGGAATTATTACGTCAGAACACAGAGTGATCGCACCCATGGAGCTGACCAGAACCTATTTCAGGTACCCTTCTGGCCCGGTCCTTCTGGTCGAGGTACGATCCAGTTCATTGGTGTCATTCTCTGGAACAAGATACCGCCCATGACGCGCTGTGAACCTTGTCACGCCCATTTCTGGGTCTGTTTGGAATGCCCAAGTAAAATAATAAAATACAATACAAGAAAAAATTCTGTGCTCTCTCAAAAGCGCCGAAGTATTCAAAGTAGGTCACTTTTTTTTATCTGTTCACCAATGGTCAATCCTTTCTAATTTTGTGTAAGATTTTATCTGATCTAATCCTATCTAATTGGTACATAATGTTCTGCAAGGATGCTAGGAAATGAACTTCTCGACATCAAATCGGTCAGTTACACTCCGTGTTTTCGATTTTCAACAGGGTTATTTTTCCCGCAGCTCTATCTGTAACATATTACTCAGTTACCTTCGGTGACTTCTTTCACTTGTGATTTTTTTCTCCTCCCCTCCCCATTACTACATCTTTGCATGTGACGAGACCGCTGTGTGGGTCGACCCCATCGGTAAACGCTGCATCGAGAGTCGTGGAGCCAGGGACGTAACTGTGCAGACGCTTGGCCATGAGAAGGTTCATATCACCGTAATGTTGTGTGCACGCGCGAATGGCACAAAGTGTAAGCTGTATGTGCTGTTGAATCGGAAGCGACCATTGCCTGAAGTCGTAACCAAGTTTTCAGGCCGCCTTGTTCTGTCCTGGGCAGGAAGAGTGTGGATGGACAATGTCCTCACTGAGGATTTTCTGCGCCGCGTGCTTGGGCCCTTGGCATTCGGCAAACGCCTGCTCGTTTGGGACTCTTTTAGATGTCACATCTCGCAGGACATCAAGGACGTCATGTCGGAGCTTAAAATACACAGTGCTGTTGTTCGCGGTGGCTGCACGAAGTATGTGCAAGCTGCAGACGTCTCCTGGAACAAACCCTTCAAGGCTGCCAATTCGCGAGCACACGAAGATTGGATGGCTAGCGATGCGGAGAAGGAGGTTACCCGCGGCGGCGGCAATCCCCGACCAGCTCCCATTGCTACGTACCTGCAGTGGGTTGTGGATGCATGGGACGGCATCTCCACCGACTTGATTGAGAAATCCTTCAAGGCGTGTGGCATCACCAACGATTTACATGGACTGGAGGATGACCGGATTCATTGTTTCAAGCCGAATGGTCCCATCCCCGAAAGTATGGTGGCTGGAAAGCCGCCTTGCCAGTACTTGAACAGCACATTTTCACTGCTAGCGAGTATTGAGTACTGGCCACAACAAGCTACTGTTGGGTACCGAAGAAGGGACAGGCTAGAATTTCACCAAGCAAAGCATAGCGATTATCTGCAAGGTGACTCTACTGCGCATAGACTGCTACATATGAGAATAAGAACAGTCCAGGCCAAGAGGCTGACCGAGCCAGTTCTTCGCCACCCAACAGTACAGTACTGATATACGAACACTTCACCCTCACCTCCGGCATAATGTCTGCACCCGTGGAGTAGGAGTCCAGGAAGACCTTGTCGACGAGTACGTAGTCGATGCGAGTGCCGTAGTTGGTTTTCCTCGCGCCGGTCATCGTAGACCAGCAGGTGTAGGCGTACGGCCGCGCCGGGTGGTAGTGACGAAACGAATCAACAAGAAGACCGTTTGTGGACGCAGCTGCAGCACGTTAGGGGGACAGGCAGAAAAGCAGCATGCTCAAAATGAGGAATGCACAGACAACTGGCCAGTGGTCTTTACGAAGGAACGAGAGAGAGCTATGAACAACAGCGCACTGCCATGATGTACCGGTGCACAGCTAGCCAATTTTCTACGAACTAACGCCGCATTTACAGTGGCCTTTCATCTCACCTGAACTGTCGCCATGTTCTCCATGGTAACCATCAGCAGTAGCAGCATCCACAGCAGCAGTAGTGGAGGTGGTGGCAGTGGTGGTGGTGTTCGTTGAGCAAGCTCCAGCCGTGGATAGGCGGCCAGTCAGCTCAGAATGTGTGTCAATTAACAAGCTGTCCAGCCACAAGCGACTGGGACGATTGTTGAACTCCTCCTGGACAAGGAAGAACAAAAGACACTCGTTCACAGAGAGATGACCAAACTCTACTACAGACAGGATTTGCCTTATTCAAGTAGTCACACATATTTTAAAAACGGGAGTTTGACTATAAACTGTGCCTAAACACTACGCACATCCTGGTCCTAAACCCATTTCCGGTCAAATTACTGTCGTAGGATCAGGTTTTTGAGCCTTATTCGGCCTAAACCGGGATTGGAATAGCCCAGAGTTCCAATTATTTCCGACCAGACTGCAGTAAAGTTGAGATCCAAAGACTTCCACACCACTCATTGTACATTGTGACACAGAGTCTTTTTATCCACAGGGACTGATGCCTGAACAGCCTCGGCAACAATCCACTCTGTCTCTGTTTCTGTCTCTGTCTCTCTCTCTTTGTCCGCCTGTCTGTCTTTGTCCCTCTCTTTGTCTTTGTCTGTCTCTGTCTGTTCGTCCGTCTGTCTTTGTCTCTCTCTGTCTCTGTCCGTCCATCCGTCTTTGTCTCAGTCTCTCTCTCTCTCTCTCTCTCTCTCTCTCTCTCTCTCTCTCTCTCTCTCTCTCTCTCTCTCTCTCTCCGTCTCTCTTTTCATCTGTCTCTGTCTGTGCCTTACTCTCAGTCTCTGTCACTTACTGGTGTGCACTTGTCCGAATCACACACGTCGATGAGACGATGTGAGCAGTTGACATCGCCGAGCACGATCACATGCCTGAAGGCGAGTACAGAGGAACCAGAATGAAAAAAATGTATACTGTAAGAGCAGAAAGTGCGACGAGTTCAAAGTTTAACGATTTGCAAATTGTTCCCATTTGGCGGGTACTAAGTGTTAACAACCCTGCCATCACACACCGGTCTTCTGTTTCTCTAGTACAGAAGAGAGAAGAAACAGCACACTGGCAACGTTTCTCATGTTACAATGGATTTTTCTCATTTTTCTCGTTAAAACGCTACACTCCGTGCCCCGTTAGAGATTCAACTCTTACAGTATCATTGGGCAACAAAGGCAGAAGACAGCCGGTTAAAATATAGTTGTAGCCGGTTGTAACTGCTCTCTTCTCAATTTGCGGGGTGCTCCATCATCGTCGTGTGGAGCACTCTAGCAATCTGGGAATCCCCGCTATTGTATCATTGTCATATTTGTATTTATGGATTCTCCACAGGCCTTAGCCTAAATCGAGGGAGTCCTATGTAAACATGCACGCACTGACTAGATGTTTGGTCATTCGTGCTTTCATGCCAACAACTGCCTTCTTGAAGTGCAGCACGGAGACAAGTACAGTAAAACCTGTCAAGGTGACCACTCGGATATGGCGACCACCTGTCCTGGAAGACCACCAAAACCAGGACCAAGGGATGCTATTTCCAGTCAAGTGACCCTGGATAAGGAGACACCTGGTAGCAGAGACCACGTTTTCCAAGTTCCTTCAGCGGTGGTCGTCTTAGACAGCTTTCACTGTAGAAGGATAATAGTATGGTGACTCCCCATTACAGATCAATACGTTATGCCCAATAAGTCGAGGAACGAGGACAAACAGAAAGCCTGGACATGACAACCTCAGGAACCTTTACATTCACCGCCGCTACGAAGTGGTCTTTGATAGCTCCAAACTGACCCCACGGTCGTAATTCATCATGGCTCGCATCTATCTGTACCAAGTATAATGACCCAAATCGAGCCCAATGGGAAATGAGAGCAGCCAATGACTAGGACTGATAGTATTTCAGCATAGATATATTGCAGTGAGAGGGGATGGGGGTGAGGAGAGAGAGAGAGAGAGAGAGAGAGAGAGAGAGAGAGAGAGAGAGAGAGAGAGAGAGAGAAGTTACTGAGTTCTACGCGGTGTATGTTATGCATCCTTACTTGGCAGCCTCACGCAAAGCGCGACATCGTAGCTCCAGCGCACGGTAGAACAGCATCTTGTAGTCGTAGCGCTGCACTTCGTCCATGCCCGCACGAGGGCAATACACGTTCACGATGACAACGGACGAGGCAGCTTTGCCATTGCCCGCACCGCTACCACTACCGCTGCATTCTGGCGCCGGACACACTCTGTGCTCTGTGAGTACTGCACGACCCTCGCCGTCCACCAGTGCCTGTTCGCTCTCCGACCACTGCGCCAGCTCGCCATAGCAACCAATGGCGTCCGGTCCCGGCGGCTGGTGAATGGGCGTCAGGCCTTCTTCGGCACGCGACGGCGAGCACTGATCTCTGCAATACGTAGCCACACCTGACAACAAGACAGCAAATTAACAGCAGTACAGTAAAACCTGGAACTAAAGACCACCGTGACTAGCGACCAGCCTGGTACTACAGTACAGACCACTTCGCCAGGCACAGACGGTCTCACATTCATATATGGCAGTGCGCTGTAAACCTCTAACTGAGAACTATCTGCCACTTAAGACCGTTTTCTCTGGCCCCAGTGGGTGGTCGTTAGTCACAGGTTTTACTGTACATGGGACATCTCACTACAGTGCATCAGTGCTCCAGGCATTGTACTTGTGGTGGACGATGCAGGCCAAAAAAGAGCAGGTTTATACAATTATAGCAAAATCCTACTGCCGAAAAAAGCGTGATCTCGCACCATACAAAATAATGAATGAAACGAGTTCAGCAGCAAAGGTGTAGCTGAGACATTCAACACCAGAACCAAAACATATGGTGAGGTCACATTCAAAAAAAAGAAGGCTGGCAGCGGTGGGATTCGAACCCACGCCTCCGGAGAGACTGGAGCCTAAATCCAGCGCCTTAGACCACTCGGCCACGCTACCTCACTGAAGGATGTAATGCTCAATGCTCTATCTAGTGGGAAGCAAACCAAGAAAAGACCTCAGTCACACCATGCGAATGACATACTATATTGTAGAGAGGTTCTGCAAAACGAAAATTCGAACGAAGTTTCGCGACATCCTTGCGAAAGTGTGTACGAATTTTCGCACGAACTTTGCGTTCTGCACATTTTCGTAGTTTGCACGGGCCAAGTGCACGTACGCCATGATCCGATCTCACGAAATTTCCTACGAAAGTTCGTTTCGCGTTCCCTGCAAGTTTCGCGTCCAAAGTTGCGAAAGTTCGTGCGAAGTTTCGCACTTCATGACGTAGAGCGAAAGTCTGTACGCATTTTCGTTTTGCAGAACCTCTCTACTGTAAAGCGAGAAACTTTTGCGTCTTCAAGAACCTTTCGCAATTCTATCTTTTCAGTTGCATCCCGTATTGTCCACTCCAATGAACGGAGCGCTGATGCACTGGTACAGGATGCTAACTCTTATCTTCACTGGGCCGAATGTCACCAAGCATGACTGTACTTGCTGCAGTTCACTACAGTGCTAGTAAGGAGCCATCCGGTATTATCGATAATTTTCACGCAACGAAACAGTTTAGCTAAGCCCCAACCCCTCCCCCGAATGAAAAATATATTGACTTGACAGATAGGCTGGATTGGTGCTTCAGCAATCAATTATTTTTTAAATGAAACTCTCCTCGACCTACCCACAGACGAAACTTTTTTCGTTTTGTGTAAAACTCGATAATTATGTATGGCCCCTAAGGAGAATCAGTTCACGCGGTCGCACTAACGTACATTGCGTGCAACTGAACGCTGCCCAGTTTAAAAGCCAGTCGCGTGATAAGCCCATTGCTCATTGCCCCATAAGGAATGTACGCGTAATGCATGTACTTTGAGGTAAGTACACTGGGATCGGTGGAGTGTTTAACACCCCGTACAACAACCATACCCAGGTGGCTGTATGGGTGTTCTTGGCACAAACTCAAACTAAGTCATCACACAATGGGCTTATTCAGTACCAGTCAACACACACACACACCATGTACCATGTACCATGTATACGCCCGTCGCAAGAGAAGCACGCAAATCTACAAATGCACTGGATGTGCACCCACAGATTTCACACACACACACACACACAGCCTAACCTGAGTATCCAGCCTTGACCCGCGAGAAGGAAAAGAACGACTCGTAGCCCTTGACCAGTGCTATCGACTCCTCAAGCTGATCTCCTGCAAACAAACGACAACGGGAGATGACTGGAAGGTTAGAGACTACAAGTAGGATTCCTCTTCTCCTCGGCTTCAGGATATACAGTACTGCTGGTCGCCGAAGAACTGAGAGTCAGCCGCCTAGCCTAGACCGTTATTGTCTTCATGTGTTACAGTCTATGCACAGTTGAGTAACAGTGTATACATTGGTATGCTGTGCTTGGTGAAATTCTAGCCTGGTCGTTCTTCGGTACTCCGCTCTTTGGCGCCCAACAGTACCGTAGGGCTGGAAAGTGCTACGTCACAGGCAGCCGGGAGCCATGACAACGCTGACTGTTGGATCCACTTGGATCCCAGTTTTTGTATGGACCCATTCGTGTTTGGGTGGTTTCCCTTCACAGCAGGGTGACACATCCCGTCGGGAGTGACTGGCAGCTGGGCACTCCGGGTCGAGGACCTACTCCTAGTACAGAAAACAACTCACATCTGCATACGGCGACACGAGGGGACTACCCACCATGCACTGTACAATCATGTGCTTCACTATGGGCAGAGAGTGGATCCAACTTGACCCAGGAGTCGTCATTTGCCGTTATCTGTCGACTCCTGACGCCATCACTTTCAAGCCCTGCAATAGCCGGATCAGATTTGTATCACCGTTTCGAAAGCTGCATGCAAAACATGCGAAGCCACAAACTCTAAACCAGTCAATGACTTGAGCGCAATCCGGTGCTTTCTGCCGAACAATGCTTCTCACACAGCACGTGGCCATTGGCCAAGAGCATGTCCAATAGCCAGCTTTCTCGCTGCGGGCATAATCAGCTGCTTATCGTGACCGACTGACGTCACTTTTGAGGAAACCACCGCGTTTGGGAGGTCGACAGTTTGACCTTTGACCCTCAAAATCATGTAAAAGAAATCAAATCCGGCACGCCAAGTGTCGATCAGGTTGGTGGCTGCATCTTCATCAGGCAAGATTCAGACCTCCAGATCATGCTGGAATATATACATCATAGCCTCCCCGGACCGCCAATCAGCACACACGTTACGTCTACGGATTCTGGGTTTTTTTTCATTTTGGGCGAAGTTCTCAAGGGAGGAGGGCCACGGGGGGGGGACCTGGCATGAAAGCTAATATCAAACCAATGACGTCAAGGATGGCTGGATATCCATGGCTAGCTGTACAGTGGACAACAATAATATTGTTTTTTCAAACATATCAAAATGTGCTCACTGGTAACTTTCGTCTCCTGTAAGCAGATAATATCGGCCTCGAGGTTATCCAATGCCGCTTTCAGAGCTAAGCCAGCGCTGTGTACGACTGATGAAGCGGCTGCACCTGGTTTCCCAGAGCTAGCTCGAATACCGTTGATGTTCCAAGTGACAATCTTCATTTTGTTTCATTTAAAAATTAATGATCCATGAACGATGGCATCTTTACAGCGTGATCACTCAGCGAGTGTGGATAGCTCGCATCCTAACGCTGAAAGTAATTAGCAAAACCGAGCCCTGAGGTCACGAAAGCAATCACATCCATGTAGAAAGCTGCAACGGTGCGGATAAGGACAAGAAACTCCCAGGAATAACTGGACCATGATCATGGATTTCGAACCACTTTCTTTTTTCATCGTCTTGATTTTGAAAAAATCATTTCTTTCGCGGGGTTTTCATGTCACTGCCCGCGCCGGGATCGGGAAACTCCCTGGAAACGTAGCCTGTCACTGTCGCTACATGTAGAGTCGAGATGCCAACAACCAGGGAGTCGCAAAATACCAAAATTTTTACGACTCCCTGCCAACAACAAACATGCAACAAGACGCCTTGCAAAACAAAGCAAACAAAAAAAATCAAACAACCAACACGACCAGATCCCTAGAATGAGAAAGAAGTAATTCAGAGGAGCCACTGGTGTATGTGATCTCTGGTAGCGGCTAGGGCACTGTCCCGGAAAGACAGGGGTGCTGGGTGTATCTTCTCCCTGTTACCACGGTTACCTGGTGATCTTTGGGGGGGGGGGGGGGGTCATTTCGGAAGGCTTCAAGCTTCCTCCAAATACTGGTGTGAGCCAAAAACCACCGAGTCTCTATGATACTATCATCGGTCTGGTCTTCCTCATCATTCATCTCGGGCACCCTCAGGCCTGCAAGAAGACCTTAGGGTCTGTTGGGAATGCCCAAGTAAAATACAAAAATCATCATCAGGGATCAGTTTCAACCGAGAGGGCGACAGCCGCTAAGTGTGCACGCCCAGCCCACTGTAGCTAGTCTAGGGTAGCCCGCTGACAAATCTCAGGGAATCTCCCTGGGAGGTGTCAGGTTTGAACATTTCACTGACCCGGCGAGTCGTACTCAAACCAGTTTGGGTACGACTCAGTCCCTGATATGCAGTCATGGCCCAAACCTGGTGCCGATGATCATTTCGGATCTGGTAGGTTAGTAATAGCAGCCTGTGGTCACCGCTCAGTCACGCTCGGATCTGGCTTAACGACGGGTCACAGCACCATACCAGAAACCTGGGCAAAATCCGCAGCAGCCTGCAGAACGATTATTGCGGCTTGTGACAAACGATGCCGAATGGCACCGCTACAGTGCACCATTGAGATCGAGACAGAGCAGCAATGCAAATCCGATCACCGACTGAGTGCACGGTTCCGGCATTGGCCTGGCAGATAGATACAGAGACTGAATCCGGCAGCCCGGCCCTGGTGGCTGAGTTCAGCTGGAGCTAGGGCTCAATAATGCGCCAACTTGAATCACGGTTGGGCCGCGGCCCAGTCAGCCGGGTCATGCCAAGTGAACTTGGCAGATTTGGGGTGTGAAATAGCAGGCTGTTATCATGTCTGGACTAGCACACACAATCGCACCAGACCGGCAGTCAAAACCGCGATCAACACGAGACAACTACAAAATAATTCTCAATAATCTGTTCTTATCATCATGTTATCGCGATGTCATACCATTACACACCATCAACAGTCCAGAATGGCAAAACCGCACGAGGCCTTCTACACACACAAACACTAAAAAGAGAAGTACCGGTATCACTAGCTGCTAACTTAGAGCTTCTCCGGCACATGGCAGCATTAAACCAGTTTCTTTAAAAAGCATATCTGCTAGACCGTGAGGCATGGTGTTGACTCAGAATACATTCACACCACCAGCTGAGCATCGCGGCAAGACTGGATCTAGACCATATCCGAAGCAACTTTTAAAACAAAAGAAAGAACTCAGGGGACGGGACGAACCAAAACTCTTTGGAGAAGTGGCACTAAAATCTAAATCCAGCAAACAAGAAAGCGAAGTTTGAATCACAATTTACATCAGTGTTCTGGTTACAGTAAACGTTACAATTGCTTCCGTGGACCAAGAGGAGCAGTTCCATTTCCAGCCGGCATGAGGGGAATTCTAAACTGATGCGTGCAAGGAAGAGTCAAGCAAACATGGATCGGATAGCATGATGCACAGCTGATCAATACAGAATCGGCCAGCCGTCTAAACTCCCCGGTGTGATGACCGGCGCACATCTCTGCATATAAATATCTCAGACAGGCATTCTGAGCTACATGCCTCTCAATATGACAGGTGGGATACTGTAGCAGCGACGGCGTGTAATCCAATAAGACGGTAGCGACCAGCACCGTCGGCTGCATTTCACGGAGAGAATTGACAGTGCCATTGTCACACGCAGCTTACAGTCTCGCCCATCAGTTGAGGACGCACGACTCGTACGTGGGAATCATATACTTGATGTTAATGAAAGCGTCAGGACCGCCGTGCTGTTCAAACAGTCCCAGTGTTTCCTGGATGAGATCACCGATGTTGATGCGCTTCTGCTGGCTGTAGTCAATCTTGTCACCACTGTTCACTGTGCAACAAACGCACACAAACACACAGGCACATACGAATGCATGCGCACGCACACACGTGCACGTGCACACATACACACACACACACACACACACACACACACACACACACACACACACACACAGGGGTGATAAACAAAACAGTCATTCCTAATGGGCCAGGTCAGGTGGTATCTCGGATTTATTCTTACCGCTCGCAGCCCTGATCTCGACATGCCAAACGAAAAACGAAAAACGAGTCCTTTCCTAGTTCCATACAACAGCAATATGTGCATGCACCAAAGAACTAGGTAATTCCGTCAACCTCCACACAAAACCTTGCTTCGCTACAGTGGGCGATACCAGTCGTGTAGCGGCTAGATAGGCAAGAACCACTCCGAAGGCAGTCCAGGGTGCACACTTGTAGCAAGTCACCCGGGCCCCCATGTTGTTCAATCAGCCCTAGTGTTGAACATATCCACACATAATTACAGTACTGTCGGTCGCCGAAGAACTGGGGGGGGGGGGGGGTCAGTCTCTTAGCCTAGACCGTTCTTATTATCATGTACTACAGTCTATGCACAGTTGAGTCACCGTGTACACCAGTACATTGATATGCTGTGCTTGGTGCAATTCTAGGCTGGCCGTTCTTCGGCGCCCGAAAGTACTGTCTTGAATCGCTTACGGTTCTTGTTCTTGAAGATGTTGAGGATGGGAAGGATCTGTCGATAGTAGGGAACAAGCGCTTCACCAATCATCTCAGCGGACGTCACCAGGCGCTGGAGGATCTTCAACGTTGTGCACACCACTTCTGGGTGTCTAGTGTTGAGTGCCGCTGCAGGCAAAGGAATCCAGTGCATTTTGGCAAAATCAGACACGTGTATATGTAGTGTGCTGTCGTGGACATTGAAATCCAATAGGATGACCGGGCCAGCATACTTACTGCTTTTGGCGCGTACATGCACGGTAGTTCACGTTCTGAAGTACACACTGAGAGTCCGTAAAAAATGGTCTGATAGTGTCCGTGGCTGCAAGGCCAGCGCCCCATGGCCGCTTGACTTCTCAATGGATTTCAATGTCCGCCGCAATGTCCACTACAGTACATGACAACATGCTCAAAGCTGGGGAGTGCTTCGGAAAGTCCCCACTACATGCACAATGTCATGCATTTGCTTGTTTAGGGTAGCTCATAAGAAGGCCACATGGCGTGGCTGTGCTCTCATCGGTACGGCTGTTTTTTTTCGCGAAATTTGGACATTTAACAAGATGGCAGCCAAAAGTCTCGATTGGGCTGGATCGGCAAGGAAATTTGAATTTTCAAATTCTCAGCACCCGATTTCGCTGTGGTTTTCGCTCGATTTAGAAAGCTACCAGGCCAGGTTTACCCGGAAAACAGGTATTCCGTGTTCCTCTTGAAACTAGCTTTCCGCTGGTACCTCACATGGCCAACTTCCTCGCAGGAACAGTTTGTTCCGCGTTGCACAAGTCAAGCCTTCTTTCTCGCTCGTTCCTTGATTCATCGTTGACATGCCTGCCTCAAGAAGCCCTTTCAGAAGTTTTCCCAGTCTAGCTTTCAGTTTTCCCAGGTAGAGGACTATCTTCTGGCTATCTTCACCAAGTTTTATCACGGGCCGTGCACAAACTTCAGATTCCGTGCGTGCGATGCTGAGCTACCTTTTCATGCGATTTAGGAGACAGATGGCATGGCGCTGGAGTCGCTGTCGAGTCCAGGAGGCCGAGGCCTGGTGGAAACTGCCCAGTAGACATGTGGAGTACTGCTGAAAAAGGCAGCAAGCACGCAGATAGCCCCGAAATTGTGATGTAGATCCAATTGTGCGTTTGTTCGAGTGCATATCGGCAAATTTGAAAGTTGCACCCATGATCCCGACGAGGAGAAGCTGAAAATCAGTGCGTGCGTCAATATCCAGACTACCAGGGATAGCTTGGAGAGGTTCGAAAAGGTCAGGATGCTGGTTGACCATGGCAGGAGTTCATTTTACCTTCCTTCTCTCTCAAATTGTCTGGATATTGAGTATCTCGCTCGAACGCTTTCAAATAATAAATCCTGGTTTGACTTGCGAAATCGTGGAACCACACGGAGAGTGACATGAGTTTCATCCCAAAACGCAAACTCCCATCGTATTCATGAGGTTTGTACCGCGTTACGTAAATCGCACTAAACGACGCCATATTGTTAAATGTCCGTGCGCGAACAGCCGTGTCGGACCAAATAATAATATCATAGGGTATTCACTATTCACGTCCATGTCACATGACCAGCTCACCCCTTGTCACATGACCTGCTCACCTATGGCTATGTCACATGACCCGTTCATCCCCTATCACATGACCCGCTCCCCCTTTTGCACGGTCTCGCTCACCCGTCACATGACCTGCTCACCCCTGTCACATGACCAGCTCACTCCCATCACATGACCCTGTTCATCTCTACCACATGACCCTGCTTACCTATTATGTCACATGACCTGCGCTTACCTTTGATTGGGATGATGATCTGCGGTATTACTGGTAAGATCTGGTCCTGTGTGCCGTGTTCGAGCATGTCATGGACACCCTGCCTTGCGAAGAACTCGTACGGATGTTCCGTTTCTCGCAGGCCGTCGAAGAACAGCGGCAGATAGTGATGGTAGTCTAGCTGGTTGACAGACACCTGCAGGACAGGACCAACACAGGCAGAATGCTGGGTTTCAGTGGCATGTCATAAACAACTATCAGATTTGTATTTGTACTTATTCAACATTTCCTGGCTCGTCAAACGACTGCCAATGACAAGTGAATGTGAAATGAAGGGTGATAATCATAGTGATACTGAGCCAATTCAGATTACACCAGTGACGAAGGTGGTGTGGTAGGGGTCAAAGGGTAATGCCGGCATTATATCAGTGAGCATTATAAAAGTAAAAAAAGTAAATTATCGTGTCCGTTCCCGAAGGGAACTCACGACGGCCGCTAACACCCGGTAAACCCTAGCGGCAGATGCAGAACCTAACGGTGGGGTGAGTGGATAAGTCTCACAACCACTGGCACAAGTGCCGAGACACCCCATTCTGAGCTGCATCCATGCATTATAGAAGATTTTAAATTTCGAGGCACTATAGTATAGGGGCATTATATGCTTCTTTTTAGGGCATTGCAAAAGCATTATGTAAAGCATTTTAAAAAATAGTGAAAAGCCGAATTTTTTCCTGGTGATTTAAAATAATGATTATCATTCCGATTCAGCGTACATGTATCTTTTGAATGGCATGTTCCACAATCATGTTTGATGTGTCTTACTACCTATCCCCGAGCATTATGTGAGCATTACATGCTTCTTTTTATAGCATTACAAAAGCATTATGTAAAGCATTAAAAATAGTGAAAAGCCGAGCATTTCCCGCTGACCCCTACTGTCTGATGCCGAAGAACTGGGGGGGGGGGGGGGGGGGGGGCTCAGAATTGTACCCGAGAAATTTTTATCATTTTCATGTAGGACTGACTATAGTTGAGCGCTCGATGTCTTCATTCATTCGCAGCTTGCACATAAAGTTTGCGCTATTGTTCACCATTCATGCTCATTGCATGCTGGTTGCTCGCTCGCTTCGTTCCTCGCGCAGTGCTATAGCGCGCCGCATGATGCGGCCTTGCATTGATCGCTGCGCAGGCTGTCACGTTGCGTGTGTTGTGCTTGCAACTTGGCCCTGAAGCGAAGCTTGGTTCTTTCCGTGGTGAGGGTGAGGAACGGGCATCTGGAGTCCCGGTGTACAGGTTATGCGAAAGAATGGAGAGTCGACGGGATTCCGGAGCCACTTATGGGCTCTATGTGAGTATGTGCATGTATACAAAGTGAGTGGCTAGTGAATCGTTAGTGTATCGCTAGCACACGTCGTGCTGCGATTCCTGCGACTTTGCCAAAGACTAAGTATATCTCAACTGATGGCGTAAGCCGCATAACCTCTATACATGTACCGTACTTGCAGAAAGAACCAACAGGGCTGGAAACTGAAATCCGACCCCCTGAGCGGTGCGCTCACATTGTAACACTACGAAATAGAGGCCGCTAGAAAGTGAACGCACCGCCCAGGGGGTCGGATTTCAGTTGCCAGCACTGTACAAGTCCAAGGCTGCATGTCAGGAGCAGAAGAAAAACCTGAGAACATGTCTGGCCTGGCCCCTCCCCGAGTCATCGACTCATCGGTCATGAGTCATTAGATATCCATTAGCAAGCGTTGTGCTTGTGGCAGGTGACTATGCTCTTGAGTCTTGTCTTTCCCGTGAATAACAATGACAACAGCTCTGCCTCAGTCGCGTCGTGTGTAAGGTCACCATGGTCACTGGTGTGCGTTTACCAGGCCGGCAGGGAGTCGTAAAATACCAATGGTATTTACGACTCCCTGGCGTTTACCATGGTTTACTAGTAGCTGATCATGGAACACCGCGTACCGGCCCTGTAAACGCCTCCGCGACTAAATTATAAGCAGCACCGACTTGATCGATTCGACGAAGAAGAACCATTTTCCAACCGCGATGTTGTCGTTCCGTCCTTGACTCTTCTTCTGAACAGTCTTCATTCATTTCCCGTCGCGTCGTTCAGGAACATCATTCATCTATGATCTAGCCGCACACGCCATGCGCTAGATCAATGATGATTGTCAGATTGATGTCAATGATGATGCACAAAACTGAAAAGTACGTTTTTTTTGTACGTGCAAATGCAAAAACAAAAAAATAAATCAGGGCACGCGCACATGAAAAATTTTCTTCGCTGTTTCGATATCGTTTGATTTTTGCTTGTTGATGAACGAGCTCTATTTTTAGTAAGAAGTTGTGTTTGCCACCGTCTAGAGACAGTCCCTTCAGATCAAGTTAACCTGGTTTTCCGTCGAGCGGATTATAATCGTTTCTCTGTAGCTCAAAACCGTAGACGTGTTCCGTCGCAGCGTGTTCTAGAGAATCTAGTGCTAGAATTCTATCTTCTTCTGGATTGGCTGTATTCAAATTGCTGTCAGCATGTCGAACGAACTTGTGCGACAAGCGTTGGAATTGGACGATAGGCTGTCGGCGCCGTCTAAAGGCAAGAAGAAGATTGCTCAGTCCAAGACAGCAAAAAGAAGAGAGCGAAGAATACGAGCCAGGTCGCTTACAGCAGCCCAGAAAGATCAAGGTAATGCCCACCAAAGGAGGACACTACAATGTATATCTCGAGAGAGCTTCTTTGAGGAATCAGTATCTCCTCAATACGATCCAGTTAGTACACGACGTAACTACAGACTACATTATAATACACGCGCGTGACGATAGCTTCCGAATCGTTTTCGTGGGCAAATCCGCTGCGTTGTATGAACAAGTACCGTACTGTTTTATGATGACCAGAGTAGCAGAGATGCTGAAGCCCTAGTGTTCACAATGCGGCACGAGGTTGTCCTGTGTTTGGAGTCCTCATGTGTGTGTAGCCAGACCCAGTCCTGTTTTGTCCAACTCACTATCAATAGTGACAATACGTTCGGATACGCAGTGTCCATTGATTCAGTTCTTTCAATCTAATGTTTTTTTGTTTTGTTTTTTTTTGTTAAAAAAAAAAATCTAATGTTTATGGTGAAATTATTTTATTCATTCAACGTTTCGGTCTATGACCATCATCACATCAGAAACGAAAGAACTTTGAGTAAAGTTTAGAAAGCAGTGCGATTTGCAATTTCAGATGTGGCTGTTAGCCCACAACATGGATATAATGAAGCTGCAAGAAGCGTCCAAACTCATCTTGGCTAATATGGTGACTCCCTTGATTCAGCCTCTCGAGAATCCGTAAATACAAAATATTATACACCAGTGAAAATCTGGAGGTGACCTGTTGCACTGATGTTGTGTTCTACTTGTACAGGTCGTCAAGAAACCGTGGAGCGAAATGTCCAGGCACTGCTGAAAAATAGAAAGAAGGCGATTACGACGAAGAGGAAGCTGATTGAGAAGGTATGGTGTGCTGTGTGGCCTCTAGTTAGGGATCTCAGCGCGTGCGGTGCGCAGGGTGTTTGCGCATGCATTGCGTCATCGAGTTTTGAGTGCAGCTCGCGGACACAGCAGAAAATGGCGACGGTCGATTTTCGACACTAGCTGAAGCGGTGGACACTAGCGGAATCGTCATCTTCATCGTCGTTCGAACATACTTTGTGATTCCCGCCGAAGGATAGCGTGGCCAAGGCGATATCGCCCCGGTCGATTTTCCTATAATTTGCCATGCGGCAAGAACCCACTTCAGAGAGGATTCAGTCAAAAATTCAGACGTTTTCTCCGGTTAGATTGTCCTAACTTCGATTTTCAGTGCGTCAGCCATCGCGAACATCGCCGCCATTATCACTCAGAGAGAAGACATCGCGCGCAGTAGAAGAGGTGTTCACGCTGCGTCCAAGAGTGAAATATTGTGCTCTTTGACCCTTCATCGTTCCTCTGAGAGAGTGTCTGGAAAATAGGTAGCTTGGAGATGGTCGTAGAACGTGCTTTCCTGGACGCAACATTCAGCCATTTCTACTGTCTTCTTCAACTTGATTTATTTCGAGAAAAAATGTTCTTTTCCACGGTTTCTGCACTGGACGCGTTTGGGATCGAAAATCTCACCTGCGCAGACTGGCTGCGCAGTTCACGCGCTGAGATCCCTACTCTAGTTATGTGCATACTTACAAGTAGATCACTGCAGAATGTGCAGATACATTTAGATCACTGAGCTGCTACATTTAAAGATGACAGTCTCCAGTCTGTCAGCTTCGTGCTTTCAGTTCAGATTATGTGTGTATGTGTGTGCACGTGTGTGTGTATGTACATGTGTGTGTGTGTTTGTGCACGTGTGTGTGCACGTGCCCGTGTGATGTTCCTGTCCTTTGAAAAACACGGCACAGGTGGCCAACCAGCAAGTTCCCAAATGGCAGCTTCCCGCCAAGAAGAAGAAGAAGGTGAAGAAGGAGGACAAGATTCCGGACTCGGCGTACGACATCTCGGACGTGCTCCTTTGAAGTCTGACGTAGTAGCCATTGCCCACGGAACATTAGAGAGTGCTGCTGGCAGCCACGTTGCTGTTTATACAGAGTACTGAGTGATCAATTCTTGGACGTGAGAACTGTGTGCTGGGGCACTTGGATCCCCAGCCCGCATGCCCAGGTGCTGTTGTATTCTGATCAAACAAATCCAATCACTTGAGCCGCCATTGAGAGTTGGCGGAGAGCATTTAACTGGATGGTTCTATAGAGACATGGACAGCAACGTAAGACTGCCTTAGAGTGCAGGTCTCTGTGTTGACTAAAGTACGCCTCCCCTGCGCCTGCTGGAACTGGTTGCCACGTCGGAGTGTGCTTACAACGACAAGTATCGTGAGACAACCGTGCCAGACTCTGCTTCAAGCGTTATGAAAGCGCAGAGTGATACTGGTCGCGCTGAACCTCGATCATATTGGCCTGCACTCTGAACTCTCAAAAGAGCTCTTTACCTCAAACATCTCTGCACATCACCGTGCTGAAGTACATCGTGGTCCCCCGGACTCCTGCGTCTATGGCAGATCATTGCCAGAACCCCCTTTTTTCTTTTCTTTTATGCCCTTTCTCAATGTTCTAGTACCCGTTAACGGTCTTAGTGGCAACTGTCGCCCTTTTGTTTTAGTTTCCCCGCCACCCATGCCATTGGCGCCCTTTCGATCATGAGGCCTTCAAGTTCAGCAAGCTATTCTCTGTACATGTGGTGTGCTAGCTGTGATCAAGATCCATCGTATACGTATCAGCTGACCATCACAAACGTTCTTTGCGGCATATTGATATTTATACCATCACACTCTGGTGTTCAGATGCCAGTCGTGTTGGCATGGCGATGTGTCTTGAATCACTGAATCAGACCATGTGTGGTGGTAAGTAGATTGGTGCTGTGACCTAAGTCCACCGACAACACAATAGTCACATAGCTATGGTACAACCAAGTCTCTCTCCGCTGCTACTCCCAAGTGTCGCATGAAAATTTGTCCGATCAGTACAGGATTTCGCTTGGTACAGGGTTTGGCAAACACAGTTTTTTTTTACTGTACGTGCACTATGTGTCATAAGGGAGGTTTCGCTCTACGGAATTACGTACGAAAATAACGTAGGAACTGCACGTAATTTTCATACGTAAAGATCAGCGCTGTTGGGTTTCGCTCTACGTGATTTCTCCACGGCTGCTAAACATGCCTTGTTACTTTGGAGACGCGTTGGCTGCATGCGCCCACCGCATCCACCACGAACCGAAACCGCGTTTTCCATAGTATTTTGCACGTGGTGTACGGTGTGTGTACCTTGTGTTTCGTGCGGCTTGAACTTTGCCATGGATAAATCTGGAAAATGCGAAAAAATATTTCAAAAAGTCCTACGGAGGCCCCAACGTAGGAAACAGCTTTCCTACGGAAATCCGTAGAGAGATTTACGTTATTACGTAGAGCGAACCCTCCCTATTATTGGTTTGTGGGCAGCCTCCATCACAGTCTGTTCGTTTGAAGCTGGCCGGCTTCATTGCCGCATTTGCGAGAACGTACTCACGTCCATCACTTTCGAGAAACTACCATACGGAAAATCGGAGCATTATTCTACAAAATGCTAAGAATCCTACCAAATACCAATGCTTGGTTTTAGGTGCATAGCGTGCACCACGTCCAAATTTCACTGCTTAGCACTGTACCACTCCAGGAAGAGGGTAGTCTAGCTCTTCCTAGCTATATGACGAGCCCCATAACAGGATGAGTCCCTGTAGTGGGTCTGTTCCCTATAGCATGCTAATCATGCTTATCTTTGTGTAGCAGTTTTCAAACCTCTTCTGTGACGTCATACCTACTGAAGTACGATCCCACAGAACAATGTCAGATAATTCGAAACATAGAACCGGGCACATATGACTAAGAAGACGTTCCACAAAGTCTGCTTACGTAGAAAACTTGTGTAGATTCATGCTGGAGATTCGAGGTTAGCAAGACATGATTCAAAGTTCACCGGTGTGCATGTACATGCATGAGTGGGCTCTACTGGTCAGTGCACGAAACCGTTGTCTTTACATATAGCAATCCTTAAATGAAAATCAATCAATCAATCGATAGTGCATAGCGCAACTCTGTGTGACAATGCAAGCACTTCGACATAATGATGTGCTGTGGCTACATGTGTGGTAGACCCCCCACTGCCGAAACTACCCATGATCCCTTTTGTGTGCACGAGTACAGGATAAAATCTGGCTTTAGAGAGGCATGCCAGCTTCTGCAGAACACCACCGAACGATCCAATCGAGCAATTGTCAAACTGTGAAACTATCCCAGTGGATTGGGGGGGGGGGGGGGGGCTACATGTGTATACCGTATTATCTCTAATAATAAGCACAGTCTCCAATAATAGAACACCTTGGGGCGGCATTCAAAAAATAAAGTGCTCAGTCTCCATTATGGTCTTGCAGACGGAACTGTTATCATGGCATGGACTTACCCTCCACCAGCCGCTAGATGTTGACGCAGTCCGCACAATGGCAGCAGACCGACAGGCATGGCGTGGAGCTCGCCCCACCTAACAGGACTGACCAGACATGTTGTATGCATATTCTATTTTATTTTATACTTTGGATGAAGTTTTCCATTAGTCATATTTGTGTTGTTGCTAACGGCTTTTGTTGACGTCACTTCTGTCATTTCATTGTATCGTATTACTCTTCAGACATCAATCATGAATGGCATAAGCGAAAGTGGCACCCCCGCCACCTACGCGGACATGCTTTTAATAATAATAATAATAGTCTCCATTATAAGCACACTGTGTAAATTCATTATCTGTACCGGCGAAAAACCCCTGAAATGTGTGTGTCTGACATGAATTTGGCATGGCAACAAGCCTCTGAAATGAGGTTGAAATAATAATGGAACAGTCTCCAATAAAGGAACGTCTCCCATAATAGCACGGGGCGGAGGTACATTGAAAAAATAAAGGACCGTGCTTATATTAGAGATAATACGGTAATTTTGCAAGACCTGACATGTAGCTATGAGCCATACGGTATATTATACTTCCAAGTACTATCGTGGACATGGAAATCCAGTCGAGTGACCGGGGCCGGCACCCTCAGCGAGTACAGAACAGTGCACAATCATGTTGATCCGATGCGACCAGCGCGCAATGTCATGCATGTACTGCTTGCCCGCGGCTGCATGGCCAGCGCCCTGGGGCCGCTAGACGTGCGACCGGATTTCCATGTCCACAACAGTACATGATTGTATTGATGAGGATGCATGTGTGTCTGCTTGGTCTGTCGCAGCTATGACTGGGGCACAGCCGAGGAGACAGCACCGTCGTCTCCACCGTCAATGTCACCGAGCACACATACTGCAGTACACAAGTGCGGCTCGGCACGGGCGGCGAACACGCACGTGGGTTATTTATTTTCCCACTCGCAAGCAGTAGCGCTAGACACCCTTGCATGTGCACGTATGCGAACCGACGTCATGCTGTTGCCTTCGACTTCACACGTTGCACTCTGGCGGTCGGATCCACTGCCTCTTGATAAGGGCCGGTTACGGCCAAGTTGTAACGCGTGAGCGCTTACGCACTGATATGATCCTGCATGAGTTATACAGGTATTAGTATCTAGCTCACTATTTCTAAATACGACAAGCTAACTCATACATTGCTGTCGTTCACATAACCTCTGTAGCAATCACAGCAATAGCGACGCTACACACAAGCCCAAGGGGTTGCTTGACTACAGCAATAGAGACGCCACACACAAGCCCAAGGGGTTGCAGGGCACACGTAGTAGTACTAACCTTCCATGCTATTTTGCTTCCTTTCGTGTCGTGCTCCAGAGCTATGGGGAAGTCACCGCGCTCGTAGAACTTGCGAAAACCCGTCGGTCCCTCAAGAGGTCGGACTCTGGTTGCTCCACACTCAGGCGGTCCCTCGACCTGCAAAGAACAGCCGATCGAGAAGTATACACTATAATCAAGAGAACAATTTTTATACAGTCAACTTCGCTAATAGAGAGGTTCCGGGGTACGATTTTCCGTGCCAAAATCCGTGTGGGCGCTACGGATTTTTTCCAGGCGTGCTCCATACAATTTTTCGGCACGGAGAATCCGTGTGGACTGGCTTTCACACGAACCATGTTTCGTATGGAGATTTTGCGTCATCGGGTGCAGAAAGATTTTTCGCGTACAAATTTGGTACGAGAAACATGGATTTTCCGCGGGAAGTTTTGATTTCGGTACAAATTTTCAAAATACAAAGGCATAGCGCGGGAATGTGACGTGTTTGCGATCGTAACCTAGGCAATGACGGCAAACACAATAAAATCCGTACTCCGGAACATTTCACTGCTCGAAAACGACGTATAAAAAATCCGTAGCGCCTCTACGGATTTTGGCACGAAAAATCGTACTCCGGAACCTCCCTAATAACGACTTCGGATATAACGACAATTCGCAAATAACGACAGAATTTCCATGCCCAGAGCAAAGTCCCATCTGACTGTATACATTTAACTTCGGATATAACGACTATCTGAATAACGACATGATTTTAGTGCCCCGAGGTCATATTCACTGCTTGAATAACGACTTTCTGGCTTTTTGACAGCTATTTCAAGCACCTGTCATGCAGAAGTACCAGAACCCGTGGCGATGGATAAGGCACACATACAAGAAGATACAGCAAGGAGGGGGGGGGGGGGGGGAGGGGTGCTTTTTCTTTTTTCTTTTCTTCAAAATAATTGGAATGATCAGCACACCTATTGTACATGTACATGTAGTTGTACATGATTGCACAGTAATCTTCATACATGTACATGTACATGAACATGTCCCTGTAGATGGCTCCAAAAGGTTAATTTTTCAATTTATTTCCCTTGGATATTGACTTTATTGTTCCTTTCAATTGCAATACGAAAATAAAGTACAAATTGACGTAGAGCATGAAAAGAGCTTCATTTCGATATGCATGTCATACTATACAAAATATGGGTTCACATACGCTGGCGTACCCCAAGGTTCCCATCTCGGCCCGCTTCTTTTTAACCTGTGCATCAACTCCTTTCCTGATGCCCCTGCTTCTAGTACCCTATCCCTTTTTGCTGATGACTCTAATTTAATTCTTGTTTCTCCAGCAAACACCTCACTTCCTATCCATCATGCATTGCTCCAGACTGGCATTGATAAGTGTTGTCAATGGTCATCAGCTACTGCCATGACGTTTAACACCAGTAAATGCGTCCACCTACCCTTTCAAAAATATGCATTAGCCCCCGGCCCGTCATCCCCCTTGACAATGAACGGTGTGCCTATTCAGAAAGGTGATAGCCACTGTCATCTCGGCGTGACTATCACTCCTTCACTAAATTTTTCTGACCATATAAAATCTATCACCCATAAGTTTCGCAGTCGTGTTTTTCTGTTGCGCCATATGGCCCATTTCCTTTCTGCTTCAACCGTGAATTTGCTCTACAAGTGTTACGTACGACCACTGTTAGAATACGCAGTCCCTGTCTGGTCATTCGCCGTATCCCATTCAGATTCGCTTACGTTAGACCGACTGCAAGCCATTGCTGCTCGTTTATATCTGCTTTGTAAGACCCGGCACCCTCCTGAGTGGGAAACCCCGAAGCAGATTCTTAATCGTACTTGTGACTGGTCATCCCTGAAGTGGCGTCGTCAGATTCTGTCCTTGCTGTATTTTCATCATGTCTTCTACCAGTTTCCGTCATTGCTAATTCGTTTCAAATTCAATGTATCCCTTAGTTGTCGTCACCCGTCCTCTATAGTTTTACCTCGTTCTGGCGCCCATTTCCTTAAATCCCCTCTCTTCAGTTTATCTGTGGAATGGAACAAACTTCCAGAACACATCCGCTGCGTTCAGTCCTCTGTCAGTTTTCGCATTGCTCTAAAGACTCATTACTCACAGCATAGATATTCTCTGACTGGAATTCAGAACTTTTCCGTTTGGGAATTTTTTTTCCTTGAAATTAATCCTTGTTGGTTTATTTCATCTAAATGTCCCGCTATTATCTGCAGAGGTGATTTCTTCCCTCGTCGATTTCTTTCCTGCTTTTATACCTCGATATTTAGGTACTTGTTTCCCTTCTTCCCATGCTTCATCTTCCACTCTCCTCTCCCCCATTTCCCCATTTTTCTTGCGATATTTATGTGGGAGACTTCCGTGATAAGCATCCATTTGCTTTTGGAGAATCCTTTTAAATAAATACAATACAATACAATACAATACAATACATTCAAATGGGACTTCGGATATAAGGACACTTTTCTGATGCCCCGCCGAATGTCGTTATTCGCAAAGTTGACTGTATATAGAAGCTTCTGAGATCGAGGTAGCGACATGCAGTGACATCATCATACATGCTTTTATGGAGTGGCAAACCTGTGAATGACATCATCACATAATGCGCATATCCATTGTCTGGAGTGGCAAACCCATGCTTGTGATGTCACAGTTGTGACTTGTGCGGCAAAGAGATTGTGCGTTGAGTGTGTGAGTTGAGGCACCCCAGTCTTTCCACTCCATGAAACGTATCTGAAATGATTATGTAATTGCATAACGCTTGTACGCAGACAAGCAGAAACAAATGAAACCAACAAGTAGTCAAACGACTACATGGACAGTTACGGCCAAAGAAATCCGACCCCGGCGGCACGTGCCGAAAGTAGTGGCAAGGCTCAGATCTGTTTTTGATCTGTTGTTGGAACGTGCACGATGTACAGTGTAAGAAAACTGGAAACGCGGCACTACATTCGACTCCATGTGATTAGCTATCACGGCACTAGCAATCAGACCACTACTCCGGCACACTATGCGCATGCGTGAAACGTATGATAATTATACCTTTCTGAATCAACTGGTTAACAGCACCAATACTTGTAATTTCGGAGAGTGCCTCAATCTGATGTTCTCCTCTGGTGCACGCGGTCGTCTTCCACTGAGTTCTCTGTGTAGCTATCATACTCTTAGTTATGTACAGGTATTTGAACTGTCCACCTCTCCACACTGCGCTCTTGGCCCACACTGTCATTCATAACACCATACCAGTACTGCATATAGCGAGGAAGTTCATTCTTGGATAGATGCTCTATATCCTCCAGACAGCTGTTGTTTCGCTCATGGAGCATGTTGTTGTGAATTTGGGCCAAGGGAGCAGTGTGGAGATGTGGACAGTCAGTTCAAATTATTTTCAAATGGCCGAGTCCGCCGCTACCATTCTGAGTTATCTACAAGTATCTCAAGCTTACTACACAAATGCGACTTTCCACTGACTAAAGAACTTGAACTTACATTTTCATTTCACCTTATTCGACTACTGGTCCAGACCTCCAACCGTGCACCCAAGCCCCCAGCAAAATAGTCCTGCTTTTGAGTTTGGGCCAGTATTATTTGCATGGCAGACAATCGTCTTTGCATGCTTTGTGCATGAGTGCCAGTCCTTGCACTGTATGCATAGTATCATAGAGATACTGGACAGCTTGCGCCAACACATTGTACACACACACACACACAGACACAGACACTCTCTCTCCCTCTCTTGTACTCACGACAGTGTTTTTCATGGTGGATTTGATGCTGAAACCCTCGGCCGAGCGCGCCTCCATCTTCGTTTTTATCGCCACACCACCCGAGACGGATAGGCTGCTTGGTGCCGCTGGCTTCCTCACGTCCATCTGCGCCATTCTTCCTCAGTCTCAGCAGCACACGTCGCTACTCCTACCAGGGATGAGTACGAGCTGCTTCTCTTGTGCAGACAATTCTGCAGTGATAGTGTAGCGGGCCGCGGTGGTTTATTGTCCCAGCTGGCACTGTGGCAGTCGCTACTCGCCTTGCTCGTGCACACGGCTGTGGACCTATCGCTATGCTCAGCTCTGCTGCTTGCCTGGGAATTCCTAACCCCAAATTTCTTTTCAAGACCAAGAGTAATCTGGTGTTAGTTTGTAGATACACTCCGCAAAGCCAAAACTAACTTCTGTGATCTGCTCTATTTTCACCGCTTGCGCTGTCTAGTCTGCATCAGTGCATGTTCAGTCAGCCTGCCTGCATAGCTGCAGTTCACTGTTCAGGCCAACGGAAGCGGCGATTTCGACACGAGACAGAAGCGTCCGACTCGCCCGACTCATGCTCATCGCGTTGGAAGCGTCACCACCTGCAGGTGAAGCTTCGTTTGAAGACGCGGCGTGGTTGTGCGTTGCCATGCCAGGTCATCTCCAACGCCAACGGCATTCCCATGACGTCAGTGCCAATTTTTTGTGAAGCTGGCCTTTTTGGTTCGGTCAGCTGATATTTTTGTGTCTGACTCATTTTTTTCAAACGCCGAAACGGGAAAGAAACAAGACACACACTGCAAACTGAATGCACATATTCAGTATCAAACTGTTTCTGGTGCGGTCAGCTTCTTCAAGAACAACAACACAATCAAAAAGTCTCCAGCTCTCTTTCTTGTTTCTCGTACTGCATCTGGTTCTGAATCGCTGCCCCCTTCCCATATCCACTAGTGGAATCGTGTTGTGATTTCCATCTCATTCGATCCATACCGCTAGTTTCCTGTGCCCCCTTTTGAAAATGCTTATCAAAGTCAAGGTAAATTCCACTTTGTGGCTGATGCTGCTTGTAGCGTGGGACCATTGTATCTCATGCTCCGTGTTTACCTGTGTTCTGCTTTCTGCTGTGGCGCGCGCGTGTGCGTGTATGCGTGGGCACAGACCCTGACGGGCAAAGAGGTAAGGTTTGAACGCGTGGGGGGAGTATTTGAGAATTTGAAATTAGCACACAAACAGCACTACTGGTATTATTGTACTTGATCATATTTGGCTGGTGAAGTCAGTGGCACTTTCTGTTGCTGTACATGTATATTGTCGAGAAATGTCTACACCATAGGCATAGTATCTGTGTTGCTCAGTACACTTCAGTTAGTATGCTGACAATTTTAATATTAGGTGCATTCGGTTTGGTGAGCACTCCACTGAGAATACACAAAGAAGAGCAGAATGCACAATAGATGTAGGCACCTGACCATGTACCTGACCATTGTGTGACAAGGTGGGATACACACTGAAAAGAAAAACTGGATTCCTGAAAGGGTTTTCTTGCGATGAGATGCGCGACACGATGTATCTTCGGCGCCCGAGAGCGATGCGAACTCGAGAAATGCCATTCACTGAAGACGTCCGCGAAGTGACGCCACCTTAACGATTTTAAAGCCCAACCCAGAAATGTATGACTCCCTTGCAATCCGTAGCAGGATACTGTATAGCAGGAAATTTTCGGACGGAATTTATTTTCGTACGATTTCGTACAAGCCCTCTTTTGTACTAAAATTAATTCCGTACTAAAATTTGTTCATGTGAAATTATGTACACTATACATGCGTACTGCATGCAAACACGTGTATTTAGCATGCAGCACTGTACGAATATGTAATCCATACGAAAGGTCGAAATTCGGCTTTATCCGAAAATATTTCCGTCCGAAAATTTCCTGCTATACAGCAACTTGTGATAATCTGCAGGCAACTCTTGAACCACATATGCAACTTGTGCCACTACGAAGGTCTGCATCGCACATCGGATCATTAAAGTTGAGCCGCTTGCGTATGTTGCGCTGCTGATGTGAGCTGGGGCTTCATGGCTGTCGTATCGCGTATTGCTAACATCCTTCTGTAAATCCCACTTTTAAAATTACCCGAGTCGGCTGGCAGCCCACTGGTCATCACTGCCCTACTAGCAGCTGATTGGGCATTTTTTTTGTTTACACCAGTTTTAGACCCTGTGGTGTTTGCAGTCTTCAATGCCCATGGCCGTAGCCACCAACCTCCATTGTATCCATGCCATACCGGTAGTTACCTGGTTGTCACAGAGTGATGTGAAGAACATACGGTAACATTATGCTGCGTACACGTTGTTCGTTCTTCTTAGACACTGATTGTACTGGTAATAACTTGCTTGTGCTTTGTCTATGTGCCACAGATCGAGATTGATATCGAGCCTACGGATAAGGTATGTGTTGTGTTTGAATTGTACTGTGAAACTTTGTCAGAATAAAGTACAGGGATCCTGGGTATAAACTATAAAGTGGCGGCATAGTGCGGTACACTAGCGACTTGCGCTGTATGCGTAGCGCCCATAAGCAATTCCGCTGACTCTCCACCACGACATCATTCACATAGAACCTCTGTACTATACCAGTCATTCGACCCTGGACATTTTGTGTGTGTGTGTGTGTGTGTTTATGGTGCTGCTGCTGCTTGCCTGTCTGCCTGCTCCACTTGTTCAGGTTGAGCGGATCAAGGAGAGAGTCGAGGAGAAGGAAGGCATTCCACCAGTACAACAGAGGTAGGTGCATGGCATGACAGTGTGAGGAACAATTAATGTAAAACCGGGAATTTTCGTCCAAAATCAACGGTTCGGTAGGGCGCAAATTTCGGTAAACCAGTTTTCCAGATCCAAAAATGCATTTTGCACACTGTGTGGCATGGCATTTTAGGTCGCGTTTTATTTTAGGTACGAATTACCTCTACCGAAGTTACCGAAAATAAATCTCCACCGACATTTTCCAGTTTTACAGTAGGCTCTCCCAGCAGACTGCTTATTTACACCTTGTGTAATAACCCACAGCGGGGTTTTCCCCTCCCCCTGTGCTGGACTGCTTTGCTGTGCTATACAGTAGTGGTGAAACGAATATTCGAATATTCGAACATTCGTTCGATTGATCACATTCGAATATTCTTTAAAAGTCGCATTCGAGTATTCGTGACGTCACTTCGAATGCAGTGCATGTACATACGTGCACGCCAAACACAGTACAGTGCAGTGCGTACAGCGTGCCTGTGACTTTGTACTGCATGTTTGCACATGTATGTGCATACTGGACTGCCAATGTAGCAAACCACATGTATAAACTTCAAAGTAGCCTTATGTGGCAGTGCATTTTATGTGGCACTACTGTTTGTCATACCTAATAACAATGACAGCATCCATCAAATGACTGAGAGGAGGTAATGTAATGTCATCTGTGTTACCAAAAGAATATTCGTTCGTTCGTTCGTTAAGCCAAAGAATATTCGACTACTAAGTTTCGACATTCGTTTCACCACTACTATACAGTAATAACCCACAGCGTGGTTTTCCCCTCCCCCGTGCTGGACTGCTTTGCTGTGCTATACAGTAATAACCCACAGCGGGGTTTTCCCCTCCCCCGTGCTGGACTGCTTTGCTGTGCTATACAGTAATAACCCACAGCGGGGTTTTCCCCTCCCCCGTGCTGGACTGCTTTGCTGTGCTATACAGTAATAACCCACAGCGGGGTTTTCCCCTCCCCCCGTGCTGGACTGCTTTGCTGTGCTATACAGTAATAACCCACAGCGTGGTTTTCCCCTCCCCCGTGCTGGACTGCTTTGCTGTGCTATACAGTAATAACCCACAGCGGGGTTTCCCCTCCCCCTGTGCTGGACTGCTTTGCTGTGCTATACAGTAATAACCCACAGCGGGGTTTTCCCCTCCCCCTGCGCTGGACTGCTTTGCTGTGCTATACAGTAATAACCCACAGCGGGGTTTTCCCCTCCCCCTGCGCTGGACTGCTTTGCTGTGCTATACAGTTGTCAAGCGACATCTTTTCCGTGGCACTACTTCTGAAGTACATGTTTGCTCCCAATGTGTTCTTCTGACTGTGTGTGTCTGTGTCTGTGTCTGTGTGTATCTATGTAACTATGTGTTTGTGTGCACGTGCGTGCGTGTGCCTGTTGCTGCTGCTTATCTGCAGATTAATCTTTGGTGGAAAGCAAATGTACGTGTATCTGTTTGTTCTAGCGCTGGACACACATGTTGTTTTGATGATTGCAATGTGTGCATGCCACCATTATCTAGCAGCATCGTACACGTCTTCTTGCAGCATATGGAGTGGCGTAAATTTATGCAGAAAATGATCATGGCATATAGACTGGACATTGCAACCATGTGACCCATTGATGCAGAGGTTGACTGGAGTTGGAACCAACATGGCTGCCCCGTGTGGCCATGTGGTCGATGTGAAACCACTCTGTTTTATGCATTGGTGCACGTTGTCATGACTGTGTTCTTCACGGATTTCCTTCTGGGTCTCGTGATATTGTTTGCTCAATACGTTGTGTTTCATGTGAGAAACTTGCTGCCTACATCTATATGCTGACGACCCTTTGTATGTTTCTGCGCGTGTCTGTGCGTGCGTGGGCGTGCACGTGTGTTTGGGTGTGGGCATGTGTGTGTGTGTGTGTGTGTGTGTGTGTGTGTGTGTGTGCGCGCGCGTGGGCGTGTGTGAATCTATTGATAGTCCAGTTCCACGTGATCAGATTGATTTACGAATCATATTGCTGTGTGTGTGTGTGTATGCTTGTCTATGTGTTTAGGAATGATGACCGTACTGCTTCAGACTATAAGATCGCTGGTGGCTCCGTGCTACATTTAGTGCTGGCCCTGCGTGGTGGAGACTGCTTGTAACTGTTATCGGCGCTAGGACATTGCCCACATCCTGCTGTGTGGACATCATGCCTACGTCAGTGTGCCGGCCGACTGACTGCACGTGTTGTGCTGCTTTGGTAGCGACTGTCTGCTCAGCTAGCTGTGAGAGAGTGCCGTGTGCGTCGTCTGTGTTGCGAGGTGGTCACGGGCGATGGGAGATGTGGAGCTTGGCTGCTACTGGCACGTGACCACCTGAGACTGGCCGTTGACTCTCTCCTGATTGTGTTATCTCTGCATCCATACCAACACACACACACTCTCTCTCTCTCTCTCTCTCTCTCTCTCTCTCCTTCTCTTTCTCTTTCTTCAGCTACCGCTAACTCACTCTTCCTTCATGATATCAATAGCCATGCCAGCCTTTTGAAAGACTTGCATGGAGCCCTCTCTGGAGGTGTCTCTGCCAACTGGCAGTTGTACAAAGATTTTATGCCTCTTTACCTTGCTGCTCCTACATGGCAGGTAAGCGTACATATTGCTTTGCATTTATAACTTTTTGAAACCATTTTTATAACACATCTGCAGGCTATACTCTTTAATTTGCTCAGTCCACCGTTAGTTCCATGCTGTATGTGAACATTATGCTGGCCTGCTATTTGTACAGTATACTTTAGGGGATTCCTTTGAGTCTTGTTTCTCTAAGTCTAAGCAATGCACATAGCACAGATGTCGCGTTTGGATGTGTTTTGTTAAGGGTGTGTGTGTGGGGGGGGGGGAGGGGATACGTGTGTGTGTGTGTGTGTGTGTGTGTGTGTGGGTGTGTGTGTGTGTGTGTGTGTGTGTGTGTGTGTGTGTGTTGTGTGTCCACCACAAGCATGCGGGTCCACTAGCCTTGCAGGGCATAGGCACCCAGTCTGGTACAGGACGAGCAGTGGTTGCCTGCCCTGGCATCTGGACTGACAATGTCTCAAGAGTCGAGAGTGACAAGACCCAATGGGATGCATGTATCACTTTCCCGCCGCTCTGTTTTCCATGGCAAGTCCACTATAATAATTATTATGTTTGTACAAACAATACTACCGTTGCACCAGCTCTGCATAAAGGCCACCGCGTGTATTTTATTCCCTGGAGCAGAGCGTATAGGTGGCGACATGATGGCATGGGACCACCATGATTCTGTATGCGTACAGGGAAAGCCAGTAGTTCGTGATGCTTATGTAGATTTGAGCGCTGTAAATCAACTAATTTCACTGATTTCTCCGCTCAGTACCAACCGGCCAAATTAAATCGCAGGCCAAAGTTTGTCACGGAGGGAAATGATGCATGATTGAGCCATGGATGTATGTGAGAGCAACTACTACGGGTCGATTTCTTTTTTGAAAACTCCAATCGACCAAAGTTTGATGACGGCCAAAAGTTTCATTTCGAGATTGGCCAAAGTATTTTCACCGGCCAAAATTTAATTGTTGATTTACTGCAGATATCCTGATTAGTATGGGCACACCCTGGCCAGAGACATGCGACTTCGTGGACGAAATAGCACCAGGTGCTATTTGGCCCTAGCACCACGCACACTGTTCATTGTACAGTCAGACCTTGCTTATCCGGATACCCCGCCATCCGGAAGAAAAGCGTTGGTTACCGATTTACAGCATATGCCACACATACATACGGTATGATTGTGTGTTCGATCATCCGGTTCCCTCGCCTATCCAGATATTTTCGTGGAAAACGGATGTGTGAGGTCTGACTGTGTAACTAAGTTACTTGTTCTTCATGAGGTCGAATAGCCACGCTGGCCAGAACTACATTGTACTTTGTAGCTGTAGTAGAACATTCACACACACACACACTGCCACGGTGACACAGGCAGTTAGAGAGCACCGACCGAGGTCTGGTAGGAAGTCATTATTTCTTTTGTTAGGACAATGACTGCACGTTGGCAAAGAGCGGGGAGGGGAGGGGAGGAGGGTTGGCAATATCAGGACTGAGAATAGTAGAATAGTAAAATTGGCAAGATACGAACCGAAGAATGTAAAATCGCTACAATGTTGAACATTATCAAGATTTTTGTTGTAAAAAAAAAAGGAAAAAAAGGAGGAAAGCAAACACCTGCAAGTCACAAAGCTCCAGGGGACAGTTCAGTTGACTGCAGACAATCTATATATGGATCAAAACGATGGGAATGCGGAAGAACCAGTTGGGGTCGCGGACGATTTCAATATCCAGTAAGCGTAGTTGCTGCACACGGCTGGCGGCCGCAGTCAGTCGGAGTCGGTCGGAACCGCTAACCGTACGTTAGCCCGCCAATGATTGACAATACTCTGCTAACCAAATACGCTTTGCATCACGTAAGAGCAAGCAACGACAATAACAAAGAAAAAAATAGTCATATTTCCGACAAGCAACGAAACAATAGGCATGAACGCGCATGCCTAAAAAGGAATAGAAATAGAAGAGAACAAAGAAATTCGCCAAAATACGACTACCAAATATAAGAATATGCGAGTTGGTAAGGAGCAGGGGGAGGGGAGGAACCCCGCTGCCACAGAGGGAAATAGTCTTAGCAGGCAGTGGTGGCCAGGAGTGTCTGCTGTACGGGTGCGAGAGGTCTGACAGGGGCCACGCTCTCTGTTGAATTACTTCCGTGGACTCCTCGCAACGGACCAGTGAAGCGGAGGCTACTCTTCGCCACTGAATCAGCCAAAGCGGTCGCACTAGCAGCAGCAGCAGTAGGAGAAAAAGCACTGGCAAGTAGTAACTTTACCATGTCGGTAACCATGGCAATCATGGCGGCGCTGGGAAGTCAGGTAGCTATGGCGACAAGCACAGTGATGTAGAGGCGGACACCCGTGGCAATGTGTGTCGGACCGACTAGCCAGCAAATCGCTGACAACATAGGGAAAGTTCAACGATATCAATGGGGACGGGATAGATGATGTCACGCGGGGGGCGGAAAGAGTAGGCTGAGACACAATGTGAGGCGGCGAGTCATGAACCGCGCTGCTGCAATAGAAGAGAGCGGGCACTTGAACGGTGCTCTAAAAGAGGTTAAGTAATAGGCGACTGGCGCTGGCCCACACTGCACGGCAGCAGGCAAAGCAATCAACAGTGCTCTAGCAATCAAAGCCTCCGCCGCCGCAAGCAGCATTCAAAACAGGCCATGAACGCTGCATGCTAGCTAGCAGCAGCAGCAGCACAGATAGAAGGCGGTAGTGGGTGCATAGATCGGGTCTTTGGGGAGAAAATTGGAAACAAGGAAACAGGGAAGCTAACAAAATCATTATCGTCATCATCATCATCCTGTCAGGGTAAGGTGATTCCTCTGTCAAACAAATACGTGCAAAATCTCTGCAAAATCAGATATTATTATCCTTCATCGATATGCAATATAATACACAAGCAGTGTCATTCGGTTCATTGGCGAAGCCGCCGTTTTTACCAGCAAGCTTGTCCATAGACACTACAAACGCCCATGGAAAGGAGGCCAAGGCGATGCTCCAGCGGTGTGGAAGCAGCTGCACTGCTCCCACCAAGCTGTGACTAGCGCCGTTGTCGCCTCCAATGAAGCCATGGCGTGTCATCGCCTAGTGAGCGCGAGCGTTGGAGGTTGTGCGCGCAGCAGGAGCACGCACAGAAGGCTTGTGCTGCTTTTGCCTATAAACACCACAAGAAAGGGCATGAGCAGAGACGACGGACACGTTCAATAGCATACATTCGCAGGGTTCTGTCGAGAAACAGAACTTGAATTCTGCCAAAAGTGTTCCCTTGGGATCAGGATGCATTTCAAACTGCCGCCCCCCCCCCCCCCCCAACACACACACAGCTCACCCTCCCGGATTAGGGGCTAACCCACTACACTGCTATGTAAGCGGCAGGAGAAAGGACAGGGAAACGATTGAACTGTAGTCCACACAAACCCAAACACGCACCATGTACCATGTATACGCCCGTCACAAGAAAAGCACGCAAATCTGCAAATGCACTCAGGGATGTGCACCCTCAGAATTTTCTCTGATAGCAGCCATAGCGGATCTGAATCTGAATGAAACAGATCAAGACAAGCGCCTCCACGCACACACGTACACCCCCCCCCCCCCACACACACACGTACACCCCCCCCCCCACACACACACGTACATCCCCCCCACACACACACGTACACCCCCCCCCCCCACACACACACGTACACACCAACGCCCACACACGTACACACGTACACACCAACGCCCACACACGTACACACGTACACACCAACGCCCACACACGTACACACCAACGCCCACACACGTACATACACATGCCCACCACACATACACATGCCCGCCACACATACACATGCCCGCCACACATACACGTACACACAGAGAGACACAGCACACCACCACACACACACACACACACACACACACACACACGTACACACACGCATACACACACACACACACAGACACAGCACAACACCACGGCATGCGGCACATACCTTGCGGATTGCAGGTCTAGAAGTCTGCTTTGCGCCTTGACTAGCTCCTCGCTGGCCTCCGTCTGGTTGCCAGAGTCGGTGAGGCCGGCATTCAGTCGCACAACTTGCTGCCTTAACTCTTGTATAGAACTATACAAGTCCTCGTCATCATTGTCACGGGCGTTCCTCACATCAATGTGGATCAGGAGAGTCGCTAACTCCAGCTCCTCACTGTACGCATTCAGGAACTGGATAGAGCGATAACCTGCAGTCGTGTGCAGTCAGTCACAGTGTCACATCAAGCAATCAGCCCTTTGCGCAATGACGTAATCTGTACCGCGAATACCCCACACAGCCACCTGGGTATGGTCGTCTGGGGTGTTGGACAGTGCATCCCTGATCCCAGTGTACTCACATGCATTACTCGTACAATCCTTATTTGGCAATGCGCAATGGGCTTATTACTATTAGCCAGGACATGGAATATATGTAGCTGGCAATCGTGAGCTAGCCAAGCATCAGGTAATTCGGCAGGACATCTGAGCTCCACGCAGGCACAACCAATTTTGTCGGATGCATCATAGCTAGCAAGCAGGATTTCAACTGCTTCATGTATCTCAAGCTTGACAATACGGACATAGGCGTGCGGCAACGGCTTAGTGTAGTGCATCCCCATTTTCCCTATTACTAGTATCCCCGTGTTGCCTGATGATAGTGGTGAGCATTAGACTTTCAGCACACTAGCCTTTGCTCACAGGCATACTATGTAATGAAGTGTATGCATTGATTGGGGATCAACCACTGACACAGAGAGATGACGACTACACCATAGCTCAGTGGTTAGAGGGGATTCACACTCACGGGGAAACCTGAGGTCACGGGACAAGGTAAAAGTTCAGACCTTTGGTCAACGGAGTGGGGCCGTGCACACCCGTGGTCAGTTTTCTCTTGGCCGCATGTTTGCCCATGGATTTGTGCGGGGGAATTTCCAAATATATCTGTACTGCATTTTTGTAGTACATTCTGTTTTATGTTTTCCATTCGTCACACACGATTTTCCAATGGGCACTGTCTGAAAATGCACTGGTTGCGATGCACTCGTACAACTAGGGTTCAGAGTTCTCGCCAAAGACAGGATCTACGCATGCGTGTCTCATAGCCATGGGATTTTTCCCTTGACAAACGCCCTGAGGTCCACGGCCACGGCTTTGCCAATTTTTCCCGAGAGCTTCTTCCTTTCCCCCAGTACCATGGTTTCCATAACGATTTTCCCACAACCATGGTTTTATCCGTGTGTGTGAATCCCTTATTAGTATTAGAGCATCGCTGGCTACAAGCGAGGGTCTCTGGTTCAAGCCCTGGTGGTGACAGTCAATTTTTTCTTCAGACTTTTCCCGTTTGCATCTTTCCCTTTAATAAACTAATGAATGTCATAGAGAGTACTTGGCTTTCCCCTGTTCCGCCGTCGAGCTGCACCCTCGTACCAGTTCTCATGGAGCGCATCGGGAATGTTGCTTGCCCTAGGAAGTTGGGTTCCCCGAACACGTCTTCATCCTGTACGCAGAACCGCATGAGAGCAAGGTCCGGGTTGGCAATGTCCCATTCAAACGTCTCGTTCCACGTCGGGTTGAGGCCGTTGTCACCTGCAAGACAGTGCATTGGGGCAAAAGGATAGTAATACAGGGTTACCAGTGAAGAATTCGAGGCACATGTCAATTTGAAAAAGAATAGAAAAAATCATCTTTGCCGCCACATCAGTGAAACTCGTCAACTCGTTCGATAGCTCGCTCGCTAGTGGAACTGTTTGCTCATTTGTCATAGATACGCTCGTTTCAATACTACAAGGTTGTAGAATTTACCACGGCATGCTGATAACAACCAGTGCTATAGCCATAACCTTAGCCATGTCATATTGTGACTGGAGTTCATGCAGAGCAACACTCCGGCAGCTTGTATGGGAATAACTGTGCTCTTCATATTGTACTAAGAGCTGGTGTACTTTACGGGCAAGTTTTTTGCACAGGTAGTCCTTCTGCACAGGCAGTCCTTCTGCACAGGCGGTCCTTCTATATAGGTGGTTGTTCTACACAGGTACTCTAGTCTCTCTACAGGTGGTCCTCTACACACACAGTCCTTCTATACAGGTGGTCCTTCCATACAGGTGGTCCTTCTATACAGGTGGTCTCCATAGAAAGGTGGTTTTCATAGCCAGTTCTACACGCATAAAGCAAGTATGCACCACGTACCATCTAGCAATCAGCACTATGATCAGCACCATCACTAGTACAGCAGTACACTCATACCTCTCTTATCCAAACTTCACAGCTAATGAAGGGCAACTCGGTCCAACCGGCACCCTGTGGGTGAGTTTTAGTGGATATATCACTACTCTGTTGCCAATATGTGTGGAAATAATGACGTCACATGCCAGATCTCTTGCCCTTTCCCATGGAAACAAAAGTGATTTAGAGTTATGGGCAATGCCAGGCCATGTACCACCCGGATCAGCAAGATATGAGTGTATTCAGCAGTAGTAATAAATGCCCGGAATATATCCTGTATGCAGAGGCACACTGCGCTTACTTTTCGTGGATGTCCTATATCGATTCTGGCTGTCGATTTCCATCCCAGCACACTCCACTTCCACGAACGGCGAGGGGATGCCACGGCCTTGCTTCAGCAGGTTGCGAGCACCCATGATCTGAGCACGGAATGCAGCAACATCAACAGGTACAGCCGGCAACATCAACAGGTGTGTAATCTCTCTCTCTCTCTCTCTCTCTCTCTCTCTCTCTCTCTCTCTCTCTCTCTCTCTCTCTCTCTCTCTCTCTCTCTCTCTCTCTCTCTCTCTCTCTCTCTCTTCTCTCTCTTTCTTTCTCTCACCCCCCCCCCCCCACACTCACGCACACACATGTCAACAGCTAATTTCGGAGGCTCTTGTGTCGGATGACTTTCAATGGCACACACGCACATGTACATGATGAATACAGCAGCAAACAACGTACAGGAAGGCAAGTAGGTAAATCAGTAGCAACCGTAGCAACCGTAGCAACAGTAGCAACAGTAGCAACAGTAGCAACCGTGGCAACAGTAGCAACAGTAGCAACAGTAGCAACCGTGGCAACAGTAGCAACAGTAGCAACAGTAGCAACCGTAGCAACAGTAGCAACCGTGGCAACAGTAGCAACAGTAGCAACCGTGGCAACAGTAGCAACAGTAGCAACAGTAGCAACCGTGGCAACAGTAGCAACAGTAGCAACCGTGGCAACAGTAGCAACAGTAGCAACAGTAGCAACCGTGGCAACAGTAGCAACAGTAGCAACCGTGGCAACAGTAGCAACAGTAGCAACAGTAGCAACAGTAGCAACCGTGGCAACAGTAGCAACAGTAGCAGCAGTAGCAACCGTGGCAACAGTAGCAACCGTGGCAACAGTAGCAACAGTAGCAACAGTAGCAACCGTGGCAACAGTAGCAACCGTGGCAACAGTAGCAACAGTAGCAACAGTAGCAACCGTGGCGACAGTAGCAACAGTAGCAACAGTAGCAACCGTGGCAACAGTAGCAACAGTAGCAACAGTAGCAACAGTAGCAACAGTGGCAACTGTGGCAACAGTGGCAACAGTAGCAACAGTAGCAACAGTAGCAACCGTGGCAACAGTAGCAACAGTAGCAGCAGTAGCAACAGTGGCAACCGTGGCAACCGTAGCAACCGTGGCAACAGTAGCAACAGTGGCAACAGTAGCAACCGTGGCAACAGTAGCAACAGTAGCAACCGTGGCAACAGTAGCAACAGTAGCAACAGTAGCAACAGTAGCAACAGTAGCAACAGTAGCAACAGTGGCAACCGTGGCAACAGTAGCAACAGTAGCAACCGTGGCAACAGTAGCAACAGTAGCAACAGTAGCAACAGTAGCATCATAGCAACAGTAGCATCATAGCAACAGTAGCAACAGTAGCAACAGTAGCATCATAGCAACAGTAGCATCATAGCAACAGTAGCATCATAGCAACAGTAGCAACCGTGGCAACAGTAGCAACAGTAGCAACAGGCTGAATCAGCTAGACTTACAACTACAGTGACAGTCTGCGGTTCAACACTCAAACTTTTCACATCAAACGGATCGTACTTGGGGTCACGCATTACGTCGGGCTGCAGAATAAATCCGCATCTGATCGACAAACACCAGAGCACAGCACACGCAACCATAACATTGCATCTGAACTGAGATAGAGATGGCATTGCTAAGTAGGACTTGATTCACATGTACACACATACATATGCACGCATGCACACACGCATACATGCGCATACACACGCTCACACATACGTGCGTGAACACACACACGCACACACACACGCACAATTCTGTAAAAGAATTGATGATTAATTACAGGTTTACAATCGCCACTCCATACAAAACACATCCGATGCGGATGTCATTCGTATTATCATATCTCCTGGATCTAGACCATGCTGGCAAAGGCATACTGCAGTAGCTTGAAAGCCTCACCTGCCATTGACCAAGAACTTTCCCTCGTTGAGCTGCATCGACCGATCTGCAACACGCACACATTACAGATCATAATGCATGTGAGTAACACATCAACCAATGTGCTGCAGCCTCGGAAAACAGCAGCAACGCCGTGTCAATGTCAGCTATTGTTTAACAAACGTATTCGCATACCAGGAGGGAAGGCACAGAGTCAACATCTTTAAAAAATTGAAATCTGTGACCTTAAACTGTAGGTCCCACAACAGTAGATTGATTCAATAACAAAAGCAGGAGCAGACGTACCCCGTCTGTGTTTCAAACGATCTTCTAGCTGTTAACATGTGCAAGAAGTAGCCTCCCGGTACAGGAGTACAGCGCTACTCAACGACATCCGATCGCGTGAGTCAAGTTTCCTCCCTGCGCCAGTTCACCGTCCCAGTGTTCGCAGGTCTAGGGCTGCACGGCGCACGGCGTGGCATTGACTCGCTCGATTGGATTTCACTATTGAGCAGCAGCAGTACTGTACTTGACCCTGCACGTCATGCACAGTGTGCACACTGTGCACACTGTGCAGGCGGAGTGCTGTGCGGGGTACAGAAAGCTGGGCTATATGCCATGGCAAGCGCTCTAACAACTGGGCTGGTTGTGCATTGAGCAACACAGTTTGTAGCCATGGATCCAATCAGTCCAGAAGGACGAGCGATCTACTGGTGCCGTTCCTGCACCAGCAACACAGTTTCCTTGCCTCCATTCAAGTGAGTACACATGCGTCAGAGATACAGTGAAAGGAAAAGGAAGAAATCCAATATCCGGAATAGAACGGAGCTCCAATCACTGCACAGACCAGTGTTGGTAGCGCAAGGGTTCGCATAGCTGCCAGGGCTGGTAAGTACACGGGGTTGGATTCTACTTGACACCACTGTACTAAACACAAGAACAGCATAGTTATAAGCAGCTAACCTGGCGTCTGATAGTTGAGTGCCACAAGCTGAGAGCCGCAGTTCCAGATCGGCTGCGGGTCGTAGTTGGAGGAGTCGACGCGCGTACCCTTCGGGTAGATACGTGAAAACTGCCGGAAGTTGTACATGATGAAGCGTACAGCAAACTTCTTGGTTATGTAACGCTCCACTTTGTTCTCAGGGAAAGAGGACATCTCAAAGTATCTCCGGCCAAAGTCTGATGGCAGAGAAACACAAGCAGGTGCAGAAGAGAGAGAGAGAGAGAGAGAGAGAGAGAGAGAGAGAGAGAGAGAGAGAGAGAGAGAGAGAGAGAGAGAGAGAGAGAGAGAGAGAGAGAGAGACAGAGAGAGAGAGAGAGAGAGAGAGAGAGAGACAGAGACAGAGAGAGAGACAGACAGAAAGACAGAGAGTAAGAGAAAGCGAGTGAAAGAAGGGGTGGGTATGATGTAGGACAGGCGGGGTTAGAGGAAGACGCTACAAAGCAGTACCTTCCACACCTAACTACCAAGAGATGATCATGTGCAGGCGACACGTGCATAGCTGGCTAATACTATTAGCCAAATAGATCAGTTTGTACTTCTCTTGTATACCGCTGTGTTCATTGGATACATGCACATGTTCCAAGCTGGCCCACCCCCACACTGTCTTGCTTACTGTCAATGTCGAAAGGCACGGGTCTACAGTAGACGACGAGGTCGGAGAGCTCCAGGGCAATCCTGAACGAGCGCTGCGCCTGTAGCTTGATCTGATTCTGTGCACGTGCACACACGCAAATGCACACACACACACGCACGCACGTACACCCACACACACACACAAAACACACACACACAAAACACACACACACACACGTGACACGCACACAAAACACACACACGCACACACACACAGATCGCATACGAGTACATGTTATGCATGATGCAGAACGTGGAAGAGAACATAAGTCACACAGCACACTGAATTTTCTGTCTGTGTGCATTTGATAGCCACACTGTGACCCTAACAAAGTCACTACTACTCGTACTAGTGCGGCATATCCGCACACACAGAACTGACACATGTGTACACCGCACTTAGACCAGTGTCTGCTATGCCTTGCTAGCCACAGCGCATATCCCACCTGACCCGCAGACAACAGCAGCATAGCGGACTGGCTAGCAGACAGCACTGCAGCATAGCAACAAGCAGTAATCGGTTTACAGTAAACTTTACACTGCAGCATAGCATGCACATTACACACGCAGTAGTTTCGGCACACCGAGGACGCTGCACTTACTCGTGACGCTAGCTCTTGCGATGCCTGCTTGATTTTCGTCATCCATTCCCTCATGTCCTGGACATCGTGTAAGCACCAGAACATCAAGACACAGTGTACTATTACAGTGAATGTCAATTCCACATGCGCCTTTGTTCGTAGTGAATTTAATCAGACTCCAGAAGATATTCCCATTAGCAGACACCTCTCAACAAAGGGCACCTCTCAACTAAGGACACCTCTCAGCAAAGGGCACCTCTCGACTAAGGACAACTCTCAATTAAGGACTTATTTGTTCCAATCAAGTTGTGGCAATCAGAACCTATTCTGAACACATGCATAGCTAGGTCTGGTCCCCAGGGAGTGAGGTCCCATGCCCAGGGAGTGAGGTTCCATGCCCAGGGAGTGAGGTCCCATGCCCAGGGAGCAAGGTCCCATGCCCAGGGAGTAAGGTCCCATGTCGAGGGAGTAAGGTCCCATGTCCGGGGAGTAAGGTCCCATGTCCGGGGAGTAAGGTCCCATGCAACAGCTGCTCATATTATCTGCATACCGGGGGCCATACCTGCCCAGGCGACGTAGGTCTAACACAGGCAGTTGTGTGCAAACCAATGTAGAATCTCCACAACCAGAGCTATCTTGACATCACAGACAATTACATGTAGCAGGCGTCTCCGGCCTGCCCCGAGGCCGCTAGATGACCAGTCTACCGGCTGGGGGACTAGCCCTGGCCCAGAAGTGAGGGAGGCAGCCAAATCACATACCGGTATGCTTTCAACATACTCACCCCTTGGTCATCGGTGGCAACCTCAATGCCTTTCGTCGCGCCCTGCGGCAGAATGCGGAACTTGTATAGATAGTCGGCGCGATTTGGAATGGGTAGCATGGCAACTTGCTCTGTTAACCCACCACGCAAAGAAAACCCACATGTAACGTTGTACGTTCACGCACACACACACGCACACACACACACACACACACACACACACACACACACACACACACACACACACACACACACACAGACTAGTCACATTGCAATGCATCACACAAGACACGTTCATCCAGGTCAAGTATTACCCGACCACACATGGCCCAAGATCTTCGTCAGGCGAAATAGCACGTCATAGTACATTTGAGATCAGCGGGAAGAAGATGACGACGTCCACTAATTTAGTATCTGTGCACACGAATCTGCTGTGTGTGTGACTCTGTGTGTCAGCTATGATATCATCTTCTGTGGTTCCATGCCTAGCATGTACGTCTGAACCATCCTGCAAAGTTTGAATGACGTAGGTTGAGCGATCGCTCCGCGAAACATACTTTTTGAAATTCTCTTCATAGTATATCTTCCACCATTGAAATTTCGAATTTCTTCAAAAAAAGTGCTGAGAGGGGTGGCTTGCAACCTCGATATAGCTTGTTCCAGGCATGCTTTGGAGCCATCTTCTGTTGAAGTAGTGGCGGGGATCTGCCCTGCAACTGCTACAACAAAAAATGATTCGATCTGAGAAAGGGTGAGACCGCGAATCTCGGTTGAATATTGAGTATTTCAAGCCTTTTCACGACGAAGATGGAGTTCTTTTTGGAGATGGACGTCGCGGCAAAGGACATGGTGTCCGACTTCTGGCGTCTGGTGAAGCCAGGGATCATTGGTCCAGTCAGGTCGGCAGCCTAACCGTCGGTAAGCTTGTGTTTGGATCCCGTTCTGCTCGATGTGGTAGATCACAAACAATTTGATATCGCACAAATTGATCTCAGCATCGTGCGTACGGTATTTTATATTCAGAAAATCTCAAAGTGTCTCTGTGTGGCCGTCCTATGCCACGAGAAACTCCAATCAGGCTCCTATGTCCTCTGCCTTCATGATTGAATGTCCACTTCGTTTGAACAAAAAACACAACAATCGAGGACGGCTTTGCAATGAAAAATACAGGTACACTGGAGCTGAAAAAGAAGAAAAAACGTGCTCAGGATGAGACTCGAGTACACGCATACTCTCCCAGCAGGAGAAACGCAAATTTTTGTGAAAAATGCGTGTCGCCGACTGACCAGTAATTTCGCCTGACGTTATTAATGGTCCAGCGGGCATTGATCTGTGCATTCCAACACTGGGCTTCACAGTTCTGATTTCACCATGCGCCCCATGGCAACTATTACCGGACCACACACGGCTTTAACGATACTGGTATCAGGCTGGTGATTGCTTACCAACTGTGCAGTTTGCAATGTCCAGAGAGCCTTTCTGCAGCGCACCCAGGCCGTCCTCTTCGCCCTTCTGCAGGCATTCAGAAAGCAGCAGCAGCAGCAGCAGCAGCGCAGTCAGCATGCGCGTTAACGCTGTAGAGAAGCCATGCTATCCATACATCCTTATACAACACTCTCCAAACGGTCTCTGGGCCACACGAACCACTGGAAAGAATAAAATTATCCGAATTTTCGAGCAAGGCCCACCTTCAGGGAGATGTACGGATTTTGTGGATGGCTACTAGTGGATGGCTTCACGCCGATTGAGAAAAAAACCACGCTGCTTAGTTTATGAATAGGCGACAAGGAGACAATGACTTTATTACAGCTATAAAATTAATAGTATCAGTGAAGCCGACATTACGCTAAGAACAAGGAGAATATGTTGAAATTAAGGTTCCTATTAGATTTTCTTGAGACTATCATCAGGGAAAAAACTATGCTGGTTAGGATATCTCACGTGCAGCAGTGAGTAGGCCGTTCGTCGTGCAGTTGATGCACAAACCAGGAGTACATGAGAGTTCAGAAAGCAATTATATCCTCGATTGGCAAGAGAGTAAGCAGCCCCTTTCGGCCTCTGTCCTATTTGATGCTACACGTTGCTACGGTAAGCAGCACTTTTTAAACCAGTTCTGAAATTTCAAGTCTTCGAGGTCTTACCAACCTTTGGTAATCGGTTAGCAACAAGTTCTCTTTCCGGCCGCACCCTTCCCTTTCCTAACCTCTCTTACCCATTTCCTCCATTTTACTTGCACTTTCAACACCCTTCCTTTAAACCATTTCCTTTTTTGTGTGGAAACAGTACCTTGAGCGACTGAGCTTCAATCTCCTCGACATAATTTGACGGGAACCAAAGTCGCTTCTTGCCAGCATAATCACCTTTCCACCTGCAAAGAGAGATGCCAAGTGTCATACACACGCATACCTCAGACCTCAGACCTGCCCATCGCGGAAGCGATGATAGCGAACGACTACGTTAGATATAGCAACTAACTTGTCCTGGGATTACACCAGTCAACAGCTTGCAAGGCACGCACACACACGCGCGCACACACACGCGCGCGCACACACACACACACACATACATGCACACACACACACACACATACACACACACACATATACACACACAAACACACACACACACAGGCAACCATGTAGCATTACTTGTGATCCTGTGCACTCAACTCGGCCTCACATCATACCTACATGGACTGTAGAAAGACTACATCTCCAGTGTAGATACATACAAACACATACAAACACATACAAACACACGCGCACACACACACACACACACACACACGCACACACACGCGCACACGCACCCACACACACACACACAGATACACGTAGGTTCCCAGCTCCTCCCAGCTTACCAGCCACCGTCATGCTTTTCAACATTGGTGATGATAGCATGCTTGCAGAAAGTGAGTTCATCGTCACGTTGCGCTTGATAGTCGTACATAGCCTTCACAGTGACGACCTTGTTCTGAAACGCATTCGGTTCTGTGTACAGTATGCCATCTGCTGAAACATAGATTGACTCTGGGTCTGGATGCTGACCAATCATCTTCAGGACCTGTCACACGCACACACACACACACACACAAAACACACAGACAGGGCAGATAGGCAGATGGACAGACGGACAGACACCAGCACATGGATGCACACACATGAACGTGACCATACACACACACACACACACACACACACACACACACACACACACACACACACACACACACACACGTGCGCAAGAGAACTGACTAAGGATTCTGGTTGAAAGTCGACCCGTTAGCCGGGACTCTTTACTGAGCTAATGCTGGCTCTCTTCAAAGTATAGACCCTGGTCAACATACTCTACAAGTAGCTTATACGCAACCATATAATATTATGTGTACTACTCCGCCCCACTCGTTGGTTACCGGTGTGTGACAAGGTCCCAAGACAAGGTCACATGACCAAGTCCAAATCCCACAATCAAGTCACATGACCATGTTCATGTCCCAAGCCCGAATCACATTCCCAAGTCCCGCACATGACTGATTTACTTGAGTACTGGGCCAGCTACTACAAACGTGACGTCATACCGCCCACGGCGACACCACAAGTAGCCGTGTTATAGCATGCGGAGATCAGGCACCACAAGCGGAGTAAAATGCTCTAAAAATCCTCATATATGTGTACACTTGGGCCTACCTCCTCGTTGATTGGGTAGCGGAGACGCATCTTGCGGTACAGCGGGTGTCGCTCGTAATAGCTCACTAGTTCGGAGAGGCTTTCAAACTGAGCTGTGCCGATAGTGAACAGACGGCCGTCCATCTTGATGCGACAGTGCTTGATTTTGCCCTCCGCGCTGCACGTCAAAGACAAACGGACATGCACACAAACACACGTACGCGGCATACACACAGCACATGAGATTATAACGCACACGGTCACAACAGGAAGCCAAGAAAACACATGCAGTACCTCCTTGTCCACACAATGATAATATATCCCAGGGCAATACCCAGAACAAATGTGAAGGGGGGGGGGGATCATCGGACCCAACATTTTTGTGACTATATCGCCATTTAGCGCCGCCATTCTGCGCGGTGCTATTACATGATGTGTCTTCATCATGTATATAAAAAGGTGACGCTTGCACACTGAAGGGTGGCGCATTCATTTTGAAAGGGGGCGGTGAAACAGTGAAGGAGGGCGCAGCGGCCCGCTACGTCGCTTTGGAGAGAACCCTGTATCCATGTACCATAACTATGTGATTGTACCTTCGAACACTTACCGGAACGAGATTGCATACGCATCGTGCGCCGTCTCGCTTTCGCGAACGAGGAAAGCACCATCCTCATGCACTCTCTTCAACATCTCCTCCGCCTCCGTGCGCGTGAGTGTCTTGTGGAACCAACTGCAGAATCATTGCACACAGACAAACGCACAGCAAGAGCACACGGGTAAAGAAGTCAGTGTTGAACGTCAGCAGGTGCCATCATAATGAGCCTTTCCCCCAATGGCTTAGCTACCAACCACCAGCCCACTACTGCAGCAAGGAAGAACTCAATTACCGAAATCAAACGCCTGCATTGCTAGCGAGGTCAGACGCGTGACCAGTTCACGGACTTCGCTTGTCGCGCTTGGCCCATCCCCGGCCCATTGAAAATCGATGATGTAATGGCACATAGGTTTTTACTCGATTTTTCGATTTTTACGGGAGGCATCAAAACTGACCTGCATTTGAACTTCGCTTGTGCAGTCTCCTTGCTCTTTTTGGGCGATTTCAAGTTTCTAGTCCTTTGGTAAGGATATGGAGCAATGCCTCCACCCGTTCGCGCGGCGTCCAGACGTTTCTCTGTCGACGCGCTGTCTCTCGCTTTTTGCCAATATTCGAGGACGGGTTTCGGTCCTTGCGCCTCTTGTTACGCCTTAGGTTGTTGCTGCATCGTGTTCAGCGCCCCCTAATCCTTCGGACTACCAAGTTTCATTGGCGTAACAAGAGGCGCACCGACGTTATGGCTCCCGACTGGTGTCACTGTCCAGCAAGGAGGATTGCTTTGGGAAGGCATGTGCACCAATCTAAAAAGCAACAGAAGCAAGCGAATCGCCATCAATCCGATTAAACTTCGCTTGCGTCTGGTGTGCAGCATTTTGTATCTATTCAGAAGCTTGTTGGTGATGAAGGCAAGGAGATGGCTACTTCAGTCCCGGTCCCAGGTACTGTTTCGGAAAGCTATGTCTTTCTTGCAAAGTTTTGTCCAATAGTATGCATCATTTCAGAAATGGAAACTATTTCCAAATTTCCAATGCTGTCAGTGTTACTCAATCAAGGCAACACTACAAATAGTTGTCAGCCAAACATAACCTGTGTGAGAGAGAAAGTGAGGAACGTTCACTTTCACACAGACCATGTCTCTAACAAAGTCTCTCTACTGTACTACTCCAGAACAAACAATACGTTCGAGCACAATTATGTTTTCAAATTCCTGATCGTCTGCAGAAACTTGTCTTGAGAAAGCGCTTCTTCCGACATCATCCATCAACAGCAGCCACCGCTCCCGTTGCCACCAACTCGTCATTGGATCCCAAATATCTTACCATCACCGGTTCACAGCAAATAGTACATGCACTGGGAAGACAATTGCACATTTCCCTTCTCTGCAGAGGAACAAACATTTTCTCTTCAGAAAGTAATAGTTTTCGGCTCGAGTGCTGCACGCAGCGGTGCCGCTAGCCGCTAGCATAGCGAAGTATACGCACGTGACCCGCGAGATTACATCATGCACTCTCCGTCGCGACTTGGGACCCGAGTGCCGGGTGCCATTTTTCGAGCTCCCACGCGTACATTCGTCGCGACAAAAAAATCACGTAGTCGGGCTCCTTTCAACACCCATAACTCTCTTCCAGTTGCTCTAACCCAGCCCAAATTTTAGATTTGAACGCCTGAAGCTCTAAGCTTTCCGTAGATACCCAATTCGATAGGGTTTTCCAAAATTTAATTTTCGCCTGACCTCGCTAGCATTGCTGCAATCACCATTAAATCCACAAAGGCTATTTAAAAGTTCGACCAGCAAAGTACGTCACAGTAATAATAACATGTTTAGTGTCGACATGGCAGAACTTACGATTTCTGTTCATGTCCTTTTGGCTGCAATAAGCAGAAAATACGCATACATGGACACACACACACACACACACACACACACACACACACATTGGCTTGTATCAGAATCGGTTGCATTCTATTGGAATCAGCTGCATTGCGAATCAGTTGCATTCTACTGCACTGCGAATCAGTTGCCGCATGGTGGACGGAATCACGAATAAGTTGCATTCTTTTAGCATTGGGCCTACCTGCGGCACAGCCTCCGTCAGAATCATCTCAAAATCTGAGCTCTTGAGCGGCGCTCGTCGATAGTGCTCGATCAGATTGTAAAGATTGTCAAACGATATGTGATCAGTCAGATAGTACTTGGTGCGGCCCTGGCCGATCTTAGACTTGATACGACAGTGGTTCACTCTGCTTTGCCGCCTGTGGAGCACACACACACACACACACACGCACACACGCACACACACACACGCACACACGCACACACACACACACACACACACACAAACACACACACACACAGCAGAAATCACACGACGAATGGCATTATTCGCAGGAAGTAAAAACGAATAACGAGGGGGCTTTGAAAACTACTTCATTCATAAACAAAAACTTGGCTCGTTGTGCGTGACAGCAATAGTGCAGAAAACATGCCAAGTTGAAGCCTATGGAGAAAGAATTTCCAAACAACGCATAACGCATCCTTGATTTAGGTTAAGTGAAATGTTCACATCACATCCACCAGCTGCAGCATGTATTGATAGCAAGCAGGACCAGTGTACATTCAAAGCCAGCTATGGCCGGGCAGAGGCCGGGCAGAGTGCTTACCAAAACGAGAGCGAGAAGTCGCCAGCAAACGTATCGCTGTCACGCACCAAGAAGGCGCCGTCCTTCCCATTGTAATCTTGCAGCAGTCGCTCGGCGGCTACCCGCCCTCCTGCCAGCTTACTATGGAACCAAGGCTCACCATAATGAAGTTCCTGCGCCTTATCAGTCTGTGGCCATGCCCAACAGGGAAGGTAGAAACACACAGAGACAAAGTAGAAGGTTCAGCCCTGCACTACTTCAATGCTTGGTCAAAAAAGCCTCTGGTCATTCAGGGGCGTAGCTGGTGCCCCTTTGGGGGGCGGGGGGCACGGCCGCGTATGTGTAGGATGGCTGGTGCATGGCATTCATGGTCATTACGTGCATGCTGAACCTAGGTCAAACATTTTAGGGGGGGGGGGGGGGGATGCACCTCGTAGCCCAGACCGTTCCTTTTTTTCATGTACTGCAGTCTATACACAGTTGAGTCATCGTGTATACATTGGTATGCTGTGCTTAGTGAAATCCTAGGCTGTCGGCGCTCCGCTCTTTGAAGTCCGACAGTACTGTAGCAAAGAGCATGACCATGCATCTATCATGTACATGTACAGCCCTGCCTGCGTGCGTTGTGCCCCAAGACTCACGTCTTCCTGCTTGTCCGGTGTCTCCTCCTCTTCTTCCTGTTTCTCCTGTGCTTCCGAGTACAACAGCTTTCTTGAAGTCAGCACAAAGTAGTGCCGTACCCACTCCTGGTCCAAGGCGTCCTCCATCAGCAGGTAGCCGTTCATGATCGAGTTGGACAGATCCTCACCCGTGTCCTCCTCCTTCGGTGTGAACTGCACCTCGTCGCTTCCCGGTGGCAGCTTCTTGTGCTGAGAGCAGAGGTGCGTGCACAGTCAACCGACAAAGTACACACAGTCAGCCAGATAACAGAAATACTGTACAAGCAGAAATATTCGTCTGGAATTTAATTTCGTCTGTTTAGGCCGCAACCACACTACGTAAAAATCACAGTACACATTTTCATGCATATCTCAGTACAAGTCGGTACTCAACCACACTACACTTTTCGGTCTGCATAGATGACGTTTTCACCAACCAGCACGTGACGTTGTCGTATCAAAGCGTGTGCCATGCGCTGGAAAAGACCGGGAAATTCAAAAACAATGCTGGTGCTGATGCTATGTACGATGACCCGGTACAAAAGCAAAGTTGTACACAGCAGAAGGAGCGCGAAAACGACAAACGTGGCTTTCTACAGGGGTGCGCCAGTTGCTGAAAACCTACAAAGCGCATTTTGCATTTCGCACGCGTCGGCATGACGATTTCTACTGTAATACCGTTTGTACGTGATTTTGTACCTAGTGTGGTTGCAGCCTTAGTCCAAGGAGCTTTTGAACTAAATTAAATGCCGGACTAATGTCGATTTGTCCAGCTCTTCAGTACACTCTTGTTATCCATGGACGAAATTTTCAACCGGACGAACTCCCTTTCTTTGGAGCTGGACGAAATTATTGACCGACGAAATGTTCTGCCGGCACAGTAACTACAAGCAACCCACCTCTGGCTCAGTGCTTGATGTAAACAGGCATAACTACCTTACTAACTTACTACTACTGAGCATACAATCACCTGAGGCACTGTACAGTAGCAGGCATCGTTCATGCATTGATTCTGTACAGGTTCCACCACCTGACAGCAGTATCACTCATCATAGGTTCGATATTTCCACATCACAACATGCATGAAGAACGATTGAATAATCCATCGCAGAGCGTGTGCGGTTACTGAGCATGTGTTCGCGGCCATCGTCCGATATGAAGGTGAAGCATCTTTTGTGCAGAGTTCCCTCATGCCTACTGCTATTCATTCATAGAAATCAGACAAAGTGGATAAATCAATCACACGGAGCAATACACATCCAAGCGGGTGAATCAAGAGGCTCATTCATGACTCGTGACTTTCACAGGCAACCTTTGGCTGCAAATGAGTGCTCCTCCTACCTTGATGATGATCTTGCGCTTGAGCTCGTTTGGAGACGGGAGCATTTCAGCGTCGTGCTTGATAGGCTGCGTCAGAAGGAGTGCTAACAGCAGCGGATAGAAAGTAGAGAAACACAGGCAGCCATATTGCACAGTTTAGAAGTATTTGACTTCTTCTGCGGCATGCAGCACCAAGCCCACCACAGTGAAAAAAAACAAGGAAATAGCACAGCAAAGTCATCAATCATGTGCCAGGCAGGTCAAACACTTCCTCCCATTTCAGTAGATGACTTAGTCACTTCACATTGCATTAGCAGAAGTTTTAGCTCCTCAAAATGGAAAGAGAAAGACAACTTGTTGCTTACCAATTATGAAGGGTTGGTAAGAACTCGAGGACGTGAAACTTCAGAATAGAATGCAGAATTGGACTGCTCACCAACTCAAACTGCACTTGAAACCTAGTCACGTGCGTGTGCACCCATTCAACCAATACTGAGCACTGTACTTAAAACTACCCATAGAGGTAAACGTGGAACAATCGGCCATGGCACACACTGCCTCTCCGCATATCGTGGCTCGGGAATTCCGTATGAAACCATCCAGTAGTGTGGAGTGGCAGAGGCCTAGTGCTAATGAGCCAAGTCAAGGGGGGGGGGGGGGGGCAGCCAGACGGCCATGGTATTGCAGATGCCTAGTGCTAATGAGCCACTCAAGGGGCAGTCAGACGGCCACGATATTAAAGGGACGTAGGCTAGTGTGCAACAATCCCAACTATCTATACTATGCGCGGCCCCAGAACGAGTACTAGTACTCACTGTACCATAGTATGGAAGGACTAAAATCCATCCGAGTTTTTTCTAAGTTTTTTAACGAAGTACACAGCCTACTCGTCAGAAAGGGAGAAGACAACAGAATATACAGCAACAAAACAGCAGGGAGAGCAGGGGCTGCAAAGCAAGCCTGTGCTGGTGAGGCATGCCCACGGAGTTTAAATACGTATCACAGTTGCTCAGTATGGTTCAGTAACAACATGCGCAGAGCTACTGGTCGCTGGACATGCAGCCATGAACCAGTAGACGTACGCCCGTGCATTATGAGATTAGCCGCCGCATTCAGTACTCACATCCAAACTCTTCTCTGAACACCGACGCCATGATCTTCTGCTGGTTGATACTGCAGTGATCCTCGATGGACAGGAAGATGGGGAACTGCGACGCGGAGAACGCGTGCTCCTTTATCGTGCGCACCACGTCCTTGAAGCGGATCTTCGACGTCAGCGTACGGCCGTGATAGATGATCGGCTGGCCGTCTGTTCCGTCCCACGTGTCCACTGTGCACAGGGACAAACATGGATATAAAAATAAAGGGGACACGAGAGAGCATGTCACAGCAAGTGTCCAAACATTGGCTATTGTAGAAGGTGACAAGTTGCATACCCGCAGATGGAGAGGGAGGGAAAGGAAGGGGGGGGGGCACCCGAACATAATACCTAAACACTCTACACACTCTTTGTCCATCACCACTTTCTCTAGAACTTGTTCGTGACATCTCAATAAAACCTTCGTGGCATGACGCTTCAGCTGATTCTGTTTATTGCCATTCTTACACTCTAGTATAGTACATTATTTTTTTGAAACCTGCCAAAGTATTCACAAAGTACTGATCAAGCAGTGTTCAGGATTTACAGGTTGTAGTCAACACTGAAACTGAGCTTTAGTAGTAGTGGTACTGTGCATAGTCATGGTTTGCTTACGTTCAATACAGCGACAGCCCATGCGCAGGCAGCGTGCGTACGCTTCACACGACGATTCCGATTGAAACTGGTCACCAGTCAGATACCTACACAAATAGAGGCATAGGTACGCGTACAGTGTGCGGATCAAATACAGCGGGCATAGGCACAGTACAGTGTGCACGTCCGTGATTATGTGAACAAAACCGTTACGGTTATACGTAGTGAATGGCAGCCACGGCAGTGATGTTACAGTTGCCATGGATACACATAGAAAGGCTGAGCAGAGATGGTGGTGCAAAGAGAATGCACTAATGTCGCATGCCAAAGAACGGAGCGCCGACAGCCTAGAATTTCACTGAGCACAGCATACCAATGTATACACGATGACTCAACCACAGTACATGAACATAAGAACGGTCTACGCTACGGGGTTGACTCTCAGTTCTTCGGCGACCGACAGTACTGCAGAGTACTGGAAAGGTGTACATACATCGGAAAGTTAGCGTATACAAGTGCAGTGTCCTAGACAGAGGCATAGTGGTGTGTATTGTTTACACAGCTGGAATAATAAGAGTGGCATGCTGCATGCAATGACTGCAATGTTAGCTCCAGATCTTAGGCAGAGCGTGGGACATTGGCGGCGAGAGGGTGTGTGTGTGTGTGTGTGTGTGTGTGTGAGAGAGAGAGAGAGAGAGAGAGAGAGAGAGAGAGAGAGAGAGAGAGAGAGAGAGAGAGAGAGAGAGAGAGAGAGAGAGAGAGATAGTATGTATGTGTGTGTGTGTGTGTGTGTGAGAGAGAGAGAGAGAGAGAGATAGTATGTATGTGTGTGTGTGTGTGTGTGTGTGTGTGTTTGTGTGTGTATGTGTGTGTGTATGTGGACGTACGTATTGTGAGAAGAGGCAATCCAGTATTGCGATAGCGGTTTGTTCATGTCCTGATAAATCTTCATGTGATCAGGATTATAGATCACGTTGTGCGACGAGAAGAGAAAGTCGATAAGCTGCAGCACAACAACACATCCATAAAAACGAAAGCAAAGAACAAAAAAAACCCAGGAATGACTCCACTCGAAATCTATAGGTATGCTCATTTGTACAGGCAAGATTTCAATGGCTGACTATGACATGGAGGCAAGTACGTGTAAAAAGTCAAAACTGCAAAACTGGAATTACTGTATTTTGCGGAGCAGAAGTCGCACTTTACGCTCCAGTAGTTCACCCAAAAAAGTCGGTGATGATCAAAATAATTAAATTAGTGGTGATAAGTAGGGTACATGTGCTTATCTCGAGACAAAATACGGTAGCTTTTCTGCATTTTGTGAAGGAGCTCTGGCCACGTGATTTCGCCTTTGACATCATTTCATCGCGAATTTCGAACTGTGGCACAAACATGACGTGTTGCAATGTGCCAGTACGTGCCCCAGAACTTAATGGTTTTAAATAATCGACGTGGAGACTATACCAGAGGAACACAGAGAGTATAAAAGATGCAGAGATCACCACCCGTGACACCACTGGGCTTTATAGTGAAGAACAATAGAATGTGAGAATTGCTATTTTCGACATAAAGTGCACCTCAACCTACGGCCCGGTGTTATGCCTATGGTGACTGGTGACGGGTCTGCATCATTATACTCTCTATAGCTCATGAGCTCATTATGAATTTTCAGAAAGTGGCATTGGCGGTATCTCCAGCATACATGGCAGCGATGTCCTTTCTTACACGCATATGGAAGATGTGCACCCTCTGTGCTTGGCCCCCCGTGTACTGATTCATGTCTTATCTAGATGTGCCCTGCATTCAACCGTACACTCCAGCACTTCAATAGATCCCGATAAAGAGCAAGTGCTACTGTTCTGCTCTATTCACTGGTTTGAGGGAAAGACACAAACGGGAAAAGTCTGCTGTATCATGTTTCTTTTGCTACATTTTTTCGTAATCTGGCAGCAGCACTGAGGCGGTAAAGGGTTCTTTGCCTCACAACATTACCATCACGGAACAGTTGATAGTTTGGTGTGCTCTTTATACTAGTGGTGAAACGAATGTCAAAACCTAGTAGTCGAATATTTCTGTCACTTAACGAACGAACGAACGAACGAACGAATATTCTTTTGGTAACACAGATGACATCACATGACCTCCTCTCAGTAAGGGTGGCCACATCATGCGAATTATTTTGTCCAAAATTGAAATTCAAAAAGCGAAAAAACAGTCAAAATGTTTTAAGAAAATTCAAAAAATCCCCCAAAATGCAGAAAAATTCGATCCGTTGCCATGGTTTTTACAGTACTCGTACCCAATAGTTCCAAAAAAACAAAAAAATCCACAAACTGCTTATCATGTGTGTCTGTGTGCTTCCAAATTCGGGGATGGGTGTCAAAATGTCAAAGGTCAAAGGTGTGTGTATTTGAAAGTACTGTTTTCACATGTCAAACTTGGTTATTATATTGAGCAGCACATGTACTCTCCTGATGTGGCATCACTGTCGTTCTCCAAAAACGGCCAAAATTCAATCCTGATGGGGCCAAAATTCCAAAAAAATTCAAAGTGCGAAAATCCAACCAAAATTCAAAAATAATTGAAAACATTTTTGTGGACAAGCCTACCTCTCAGTCATTTGATGGATGTTGTCATTGTTATTAGGTATGACAAACGGTAGTGCCACATAAAATGCACTGCCACATAAGGCTACTTCGAAGTTTATACATGCTGTTTGCTACATTGGCAGTCCAGTATGCACATACATGTGCAAACATGCAGTACAAAGTCACAGGCAGGCTGTACGCACTGCACTGTACTGTGTTTGGCGTGCACGTATGTACATGCACTGCATTCGAAGTGACGTCACGAATACTCGAATGCGACTTGAAGAATATTCGAATGTGACCAATCGAACGAATGTTCGAATATTCGAATATTCGTTTCACCACTACTTTATACGTAAGACTCGTGGAGCAAGTACATTGAACTACTTGGTGGCTGAGCTGGGATTTCACTCAGCACGTACAGGATAGCAACAGACGATCCCAACACCCCATGGGTCCCCGACTCCCACAACTAGTACTTCGCTGTTTTGTTCAAAAGGAGTAGTAGCTTGCTCATTGCTTCTATTGCTAGCTCATCTGGAGCCTAAGTCTCTCAGTCCTCATTAGCAACAGTCTCGAACTCCGGTCATGGTTTATCTGCAGACTCTGCTCTTCCTCCGCTGTTAGCCCTCGACTTTCACTCCCACCAGTGTCTCCTCTGGTACCACCAGAAGTGAAGTCCATTGTCCCTCCGACACAGGTTGCTCCTCCGGCCTCATGGCCAGCAATCGAGGACATCTGAGAGTTGTAATTTTTGTACTCCTCCGAGGTGTGATTTTTGGCGTGCTGGGCCAAGCACAAGGAAGCCATCTGCAAAAAAACTGCAGAAAATGGTTGTTGTTTGATCCTTTGGTGTAATCTTTGTTTCTAGTCGAAGCTAGTTGCTGTTTGGAGCAGAAACGCTGAAATTGACTATTTTCTGCATGTACTCATACATGTACTGATGTACTCAGGCATGCAGTCTCACTCGTATTTTAGCTCTTTTTCTGGAATGGATGCTGCTCTGCGCCCCTTGGTGAACATTTCCTGCGCTCGTGGAGCAGCTAAAAAGGACCACTGGTATGTCTGGTTCCTTGCTTGAAAGTGGAGAGTTGACTTTTGTGCCTTGAAAAAGGAGTAGAGAGCGATAAAGGTATGTCTGTTGCTTATTTTTGAGTGCTCCTCGTACATTTTTGATCGTGATAGAAATTTTCAGACCAAAGTCAGCGCGATGACGGCCGTACAGTTTTCTTGTGGATTTTTTAGTGGTTTCATCTCGTATCTATGTCAGTATCGTGATGGTGAAGTGGAGAGGGTGATTTTCTTCCTCTAGGCTTCGTTTGGCTGACTTTGCTTCGTCCTCGTTGAAAAGTGATCCTGAAAAAAAGGTCGATTTGCAAAATTATGTTGATTTTCAATGTACGTGATGACATGCGATTGCTGGCTATGTCTTGGGTCGCCAAATCAGCGGACGCTTGGGGGGAAATGGAGCAAGTGCTTCTCGAGGCACTGGCTTGCCTCTGAGCTCAATTCACAACCACAGCTTGTTCAGGTGAACTCTTTACTGTATATCGCTGGTGTGAACATGTGTACTATTCGGGTCCGGGTTTGAGAGCTGGACCCTGATATCTTGGACGCTGTCCTCAGCAGGCGCGCTGAATTCACAAGTTCTAAACGAAGAAAGGCGATCTACCGGTTGGAAACGGCGCAAGCATCTTGGGGTGGTCCTTCAATAGCCGGCCACCATGCAGGAAAAGTTAACAGTTACCCGAGGCAGCTACCCCACTGACTGTGGAGCATACAATGATGGCATCATGTGGACACCAAAGCTGCGTAGAAAGACCGTCATCAACTGCGAGTCACACTTGACAATCACAGCGATGCCGGCCCAGTGTCACGGTTGCTGCAGAGCGCGGGTGTGTTTGTATACTACCCTTGCTATGTCTAGTCTACTGTACACCGAAGGTACTACTGTGCGGGCAAAGCTGTGTACATGCTCTGCAAGCTATGCATGTGAACACATACTGCGAGCTATGCACGTTCCATATAAGCTGTGTACATGCTCTGCAAGCTATGCACGTTCCATATAAGCCGGGTACATGCTCTGCAAGCTATGCACGTTCCATATAAGCTGTGTACATGCTCTGCAAGCTATGCACGTTCCATATAAGCCGTGTACATGCTCTGCAAGCTATGCACGTTCCATATAAGCCGTGTACATGCTCTGCAAACTATGCACGTTCCATATAAGCTGTGAACACTCACTGCAAGCTTAGCTTTCTCTCTTGGACGTTGGTTAATTCATACTAAACACAACGTAGAATCGGCAACGCGTCACTTGTTCTGTTCAAGTCCGATCATCCGATAGCAACACATGGTCACACTGTGTACATCACACTGCCTAGACACCATGCTCGCCAAGGCCTGTTATTGCATTCAAGCCGTTCATGACGCTTCCTACGCATCCTGTTTCACAGATGGAGGTGGACCTGCGTGAAGCTGACGCTCTGCAGGCACGGACTTTTTTTATCAAACTTCCCGATTGCTCCTCCTCCTCCCCCCCCCCCCCCCATAACACAACAAAACATACATACACCCTCCCACCACCCTCTACACAACGCTACAGACCAGCATAGCACCCTGGACTCCTGACAGGCTAACAGACAGAACATAGCACCCGCACACGCAACTAACCTCAGGTAGAGTGAGAAAGGCGTCCTGCGGAGGGTTGTCGTTCCAGTATTCGCGCATCATGTCGCGAATGTAGATACTGCTATGCGCGTACGGATCCTACCCGGAACAAGATAGAGCCAGAATGCACGCATGCATGCCCGCACATGTACATTGACACGTACACGTACACACACACACCTTGACCTTGACCTTTGACGCCCATCGCCGGAGGCGATGATAGCAATGCTACGGCAGAAGCCATAGCAACTTGTGCTGGGATTACACCATTCAACAGCTTGCAAGGCTGAAGAATTGACCGTCACTATTCAGCCTGGTCTACACCATACAGCTATTTGGAGTGACATTTTCTGGCCAGTGAATCCCTATTTTTGGTCTTTTCATTCCTTTTATTTTCCCCGCACACACATCACACCACATACTCCGGCATGCACTGGCTGTTGGTAACCACCCAGGAGAATGAAAGAAAAGTCAGGAAGAATCTGAGAAAGAGAAGAAAGACGTGTGTGACCATAATCGTCGGGAATCGAACCCGCAATCTATCGATTGGAAATCGCTGCACATACCACTGCACCATATGGGACACACACACACACACACACACACACACACACACACACACACACACACACACACACACACACATGCATACTAGTTTTTTCTAGTGTGCACGCACGGATGCAATCATGCATGTCCACACACACTCACACATAACATTATGCACACACATGCGCCCGCACACACACATACACACACACATACACACACACACACACACACACACACACACACACACACACACACACACACACACACACACACACTGAGAAAACTGCGTAGATTCTATGCATTAGGATGAGCAAGGCCAGGAAGTGTCGCGGAACTTACGGCCTGCTCATTTTGAAGGAACCGTTGAAAACTAGACCGTGTCATTTGCCTGTGTCAAAGCACCGCAACAAACGCAAACACACACACACACACACACACACACACACACACACATGCACACGCACACACATGCACACACACACGCGCGCGCGTGCGTGCGCCACAACCAATACCAACACAAACAATAATGTGCAAGAAGTCAAGGACGCACGGAAATGGACAATGAACAGCCTACAGAATCGCAGGCGAGACGAGCCGACAAACATAGTGTGTACATGTACATATTATTATTATTATTTTCGTAATACGTATTCGCATGCAACGACGCAAATCCACACAATTCAGTAGACACTTTTTCTATCAAACGTTTTCTTTCCCTTCTCTTCAGGATAGTACAGGACACCTCGTGAAAGTGTGACAAGTGTTCCCTGATGTGTTCAACGTGTTTGTCTACAACTTGCAGCTGTTTGTTTTTGAGTTTTTAACACTTTAATCATTTTTAACACCTATGTTGAAGTGTTGACTTTTTCTTTCTTTCATTCTCTATATAGTTATGTGTTTTTCTAATTTCCAACATTCCCTGTACTATCCTGAAGAGAAGGGAAAGAAAACGTTTGATAGAAAAAGTGTCTACTGAATTGTGTGGATTTGCGTCGTTGCATGCGAATACGTATTACGAAACTGTTTTTCCCACCGCCTCCAAACTACTGTTTGAATTATTATTATTATTATTATTATTATTCACACACATATCCGCCGGATGAGTACGCGTGGCCCATGCACCATGGGGACCCACGAATACAAACCAGCATGTGCATGCACCATGGGAAGGCTGCAGTAAAGGGGTTGACAATACTAGTACCTAAAACACTCCATGCCAGCCCATACCGATGCATAGCATTGGGCGTGAGACTAACGGAGTCTGCCTCGCCCCGCCCAAAAACATTCGTGGTCCACAAGCACGCACGACGCGCGCGCGCAGTGGACGAGCATTGCAAACAGGCAGCTAGCTGTGATCACGCTCTCGGCGAAGAATGGCGTAGCAATGGAGAACAGCATGAAAGCTTGCGGCGGCAAGCCTGTCTGTGCATACACAATAACGATACTCGGTCTAGCCTACGCGTGCGGCACATGCCCTTGATATTGTTTTTCTGCATACTGAAGCTCTCCAGCAAAAAGCCTGAAGATCGTCACAGATTATGCGCAAACAGTTTATGTGTGTGAATCAACAACAGTAGAAGAGTAACGTACTAGGATTTGCGCCCACACATTCCCAGACCCCTGAATGAGAATGATGTCTGCACGGTACACACATAGGTATGCTCAGCCGCAGGACACATATCAACATGATGTGCAACGCATTTGAAAACGTGGCAAACAGACACGAATCAACGCCGCCTTATTTACCAACTGCACACACGCACTGGTGGCTTGTAAAGAGATGCACTAGTGACTAGCGCGGACTTACGGCGTGCCACCCTCGTCCTGAAGGTACTGGGACAAACGGATCTGGACATCCTGAAGCTGCAGGGCAAGTGCAACAGAACACCAGGAACATCATTGCTTGGACAGAGGCAGATCACATATATATTCACACACACACACGCAGACACACAGACACACAGACACACACACACACATGCATACAGACAGACGGAGACACACACACAAACACACATGTCGCCAAGGGGAAACAGCATGATGCAATCACAACAACACACATGCAGGGCACAACAGTATTCATCGTGAGTGTGATTGCTCTGGTAGACCACTACCCCATGTGTTTGAGTGTGTGAAATTGTCTCCGAGGGCCAGCTACTACAGAGAGACAGAGGGAGAAAAGAGTGACAACTACAAGCATATAAGGCGTCCAATACAACAAGACTGGCACTGTTGGCCCACACATACCAGCGGGGCTACTACTATGCCCTGGTAGACACTTCGGAATTGATCATAGTTGATGTAGCCGTTCTTCGAAACGTCCACATCCTGCAGGCAAGCACAATACCAACACAAACAAAATCTCCTTCTCACTAATGGCTGTCTTGTACAGGAAATCTGCATATCCATACACACGTTGAGCAAAAGCTGCAAGTACGCTGTCCACTAATCGTACACGAAATACGGAAGAGTACCTGAAACGCAGTCCTGGCTTTCGTGTTCGGCATCTTGCAGTTGGCATGCTGCAAAAACTTCTTGAACTCCGTGAGACCGACACTGCAGTTAGAGAATACAGACAAGATATGGTTTGGTACACAGATGTTCTTCCCACTGCCGTCCTGCTCCTTTGTTGCTGTTGCTGTTGTTGTTATTGTTGTTGTTGTTGTTGTTGTTGCTGTTGTTATTGTTGTTGTTGTTGTTGTTGTGGTTCTTGTTGTTGTTGTTGTTGTTGTTGTTGTTGTTGTTGTTGTTGTTGTTGTTGTTATTGTCTTGCTTTGGCGATGCATTACTTACTTTCCTGCATTACCACGGTCAAGGTTTCGAAATTCCTTCAACAGCCACCTGTGCGCGTACATGATAGACAGACCGACAAACCAACAAACACACAAAGATCAAACAGATGGCCTATGGCGGACATACGCCGAAGGTTGGAAGTTTTTTCTTTCGGCGGGATACCTTTCAAGAGCAGTGGAACCGCCCCTCGTATTAGTTAGAGTAAACTGAATACAAAACAGATTGATGTTCCATCTCCCGCCCGTGTAGGCTTTGATCGTGCATGTGGCGACTGTGAAAGCATGACGCCATATGTGGGTATGGAAACTATATATGGGCGTGAATCACACTGTGGCTTTGGGAATTTGTGTTTTTAATTGCTCTACTAGGTCTCGGCTCATATTTCTGTTCCGTGCTGAGTCGTCTACAAAGGAGGAAACAGTTCTTTGTGTGTTGGGTGCACTGAGTAATCAAGCCATGACTCAGAGTCTGTTCCCAGGCCAGGCCACCCTGCGTGGGATCTTTCCTGTTAGGACCTGCATGGGATAGATCTTGGGCTACTGACAAAAGAACAATCGAAACCATCCTACTTCTCACCCACCACCCGTGTTACCTGTCAACATGCTAAGTGGCTGACCATCACACTTGGCTAAAGCCAGCCACATGAATGCATGTACAGGGCGGATAGTCAGTTTCCAGCTAAAATAATGACTTAAAATTCGCCTGAATTGAATTGGTAGCACTTGAAGCATTGAGAAGCGCTTGATTTGAAGCCTTTGCTTCCAAAGCTATCCGCCGGAGAGAGAAGCTAAAAAGTGGTCAATCCTTACAAATTGCCAACAAACACGCTGTAAAGGCCGTGCAACACTGCAGGCCTGTAGCAGCAGAGGAGGCTGACAAAGTCGAACACCATCGTTACCATAACCACCTATGACTTCATCGTGAAAAAAAGAGGTGTTAAAAAGGCGACTGCATATCGCACTGCCATGTGCAAGCACTGGTCCGTTTGGTCAGTCTCCACGTCAAAATGCGCCCTAGCTGCAAATCCACCGCCAGAAAACCCAGCGCAAGTACGAGTGCATGCAGGATAAAGGGCATCGTCACTATAATCTCCAGCATCACCGCCAGCACCAGCACCACTGCCAGATCCACCAATACACAGTGTCAGTAGGATCAGCGGCGGTACCATTGCCACTATCAGCAACAGCAGCGCATAGAGTGGTTTCACGTCTTTTGTCACGCGCCTGAAATTTGTGTAGAAAGCGATCATGGCATGTGAATAGTCCCCGGGAAGCAACATGGCCGACATCATGTGACCCATAGATGCAAGGGTTGACTGGAGTTGCAATACAGTAAAACCTGGTTTTAGCGACCACCTGCTTTTGATGACCGCTTTTCCATGCACGGACAGGTTTACATAGAAACTGCACCGGATACAATGGCCACCTGCCTTGCGAGACCAGCGGCCGACTTTTACTGTACCACGTGCCATACTGGACCTGCACATAGCGACCAAAACTAGCCAAAACTGCCATCTTGGCTGGCAGGGCTGACTGCAGCAGGGTTGAAGTGCGCTCTGAAAGACTGAAGCAAGTGCATGCAGTCAACAGAAGTGACAAGTGACAGTGCAGGATGCACTGTATGCACTTGAGGGAGGTGTACTGTGTTTGCATGAAAACATTCTATGCTCCACACCTGTCAATATGAGTACATGGAAGTACAATTATGCACATCTACGTACACGATCCGATATGCAGAACGAATGTATGGGACCTGGTTCTAAAGACCACCTGGCTTTAACGACCGTTTTTGCTTGCAACGTGGGGTGGTCGCTTAAATTAAACAAGGTTTTACTGTATGACCAGGCTGGTCATGAGATAGATGTGAAACCACTCCATAGGCTACGCGAACTAGATCATCGCCGGTATGTTTTTGCAATGAGCAGCAGACTGTGCATCTACTGCTTACACAGCTGCACATAATGCCGTTTATTATTCTATTATTTTTATTTTACTATTACAATTTTTTCAGTAACGCAGATGATGATGATGATGATGATGATGATGATGATGATGATGATTGACATCTTTTGTCTTTTCTTTGGGTTAAAAGGTTAACTTCATCCTCGTTTTCCTATTGCCTTGTATTGGAATTTGCCCATAAAAGTGGCTACGGTGTGATAATGCATTTTTATATTTCGTGTTTTAACATTATTTTCAGAAAATTGCTCTTACAATACCTTGCGTTTCATATTCATAATATTGTTGCCCGTAAAAGCGGCTTGGTCGTATGATGATGATGATGATGATGATGATGATGATGATGATGATGATGATGATGAGCAGACCAATGCACATGCTCCTAGTCTACACAAACCACCCCAATGAACGGCATGCTAGTAGTCACCAAACCCCATGGATGGCATGCTAGTAGTCACCAAACCCCATGGATGGCATGCTAGTAGTCACCAAACCCCATGGATGGCATGATCGAATAGCCTCCAGTGAGGAGCACGTGGACCTGAGAAGAAAACATCACTGACCGTTTCGTTAGAATCGGGTAGCTGAAGTAGCGCTTGGTGGCCTTCAGATGGGACAGTCCGCGCACCCAGTTGTCACGCTCATCACGACCAAACGCTGTCACATGATAGAGCGTGCAGAGCAACAAAGCACACACGTACAGCACACGGCATGCGGCTATTATTACTACTACAACACATTGTCATGGTGATACATGTCTACCACTGCCTTAGCAGGAAATCACTATACGTTGTTGAGTATGGAGTTCAAAGTGGCAGACGGTTGCACAATTGCACATCACGAAATAAGGTGGCGATGGGCAATGTGTTATAAAATCACGGTGTGGTCTCTTTGTCTCTGGTGCAGCCTTTCCAGCAGCCAACAGGGTACAGGACCAACTAACGAGGAAGTTACCATGTACAAAATCACTGTTGAATGCTGACTACTTAGTGATAGGTTGTGTAAAAGCAGCCCCCCCCCCCCCCCACACACACACACCTAAACGCGCACACACAGACACACACAGACACACGCCATGTACATGCACGTACACCCCCCCCCCCCCCGTCCCTCCCACATGTACGCAAATAGAAACACACACACGCACAAAGCAAACACACATCTCCACACTACCCTAAGTCTGTCTCAACTTTCTCTTTACGTTCACTGAAGTTCCGTGTCCATCACTATACACAGTGTTGCTGGAAAAGACTTGTGTCAACACGATAATAATGTTGTGCTGTTGAACAAAACCTTGTGCAGCGGCGCTACTGTGTACTGTGTGGAGCAAAACAAACTGCACTCCAAGAACAACATGCTGCCGAATTACATTATTAATTTTGCAATTTCTTTTCCTGCACAGCCGAATTGCCACCCCAGACCAACCCCCTGCAACACCATCTGATGATTCAAGTGCACTGGTGGAGCACCACTACCTTCACTGCAAACACAATAGATTACTCATCATCATAACCTAGGCTAGGCTGAACCCCCAAACCACTACATGTAGCGCTCTTGAAATCTTCACACTCATGTCACACTGTCCAATAAAATAATTACGGACACTGTCAACAGTTTTCTCTCTCCTCTTCTTCCACCGTGGCATGCTGAAGCGTGACTGGATACCGGAAAGCGTGCATAAACTACTTCACAGTCCCATTTTCAAACCAACAAAGTGATAAGGATCAACAGCAGAAGTCACACGTTCGTAAACAATAGCGCGCCCATCGCGCCGTTACCGACGCACTATGTGCCTGCCATCGCACAAGTGAAGTGTTCACAGTTTACAGCCACCGTAGACTAGTAGTAGGCACTGTCTGTACACAAGTACTTACCAACCAAACTGAGCGTCTTCAGGCGAAATTCGGTGCCGTAGAGAATCACGAAACAGGCAGCTTCATCGCAACGACGTGCATCGTCCGGGTAACGCTCAAAGTCTTTGCTCTGGCGGCCTTTCCGAATCTCCTGGATTTCCCTGATGTCGACTGCAGAGACGAGAGAAGCGAGAAAAGTTCACACAAGCAAACATTTCCTTTCCTCAAAAATCGAACACAAGCGGAAATTTTCCATTTCAGGAAATACAAGTACTTAGTAGTGCACTGATGAGAGGCCTCGGACCCTATTTTGCCGGGCTGGCCACGAACACCTCCAGGTTTTGTCATTGTCCTGTTCGCTATGGAGTCTGGTCGCATTCCAAATAACATATCCCAGGTGAAAATGGACTCATCCCGGGAACACAATAGCAGCAACCTTGCCAACAATATCATGGTGTCCCGATCTCACCCACTAGTGCAAATGCGCAGACGCGTTCTCTACCTCAATCCACAAAGCCCTACCCACAACAGCACAAGTGAAATCAAAACTGAATTCACTGAAACAAAACAGTACTGCATACAGCCAGCAAGACGTAGTAGAAGACGTGCTGTTCTGTGAGCTCTGGAAGTGTTCACGCCAGGCCGTGAACCCAGACAACAATAGCTACAGCAACACAGCGCTGTAGTACGCTTATCAGCCGTGTAGAAAATCTAACTACAGGGTACGCGGCCGCCACCTTTACCTGTCCCCTCCGGAGTAGCGTTTCTTCCCACTCTGCCAGCAGGATACCAAGCTATCTCGAACGTCTCTACCCGCAAATAGAAGGATCTGCGCTCCGGTCTTCGCCGGGGCCAGAACTTGGTCATCCCAGTGCCACCCTCCATGACCCTCAGGATGAGCGCGAGATCCTCATTGCTCTCCAGATGTTTGTAGACAACATCGGCCGTTTGAATGCTCGACGAGGAAGACATCCTGAAGGCCGCCGAGGAGAGAGATGACTAGCTCGAGCCACCCAACGGCCAACGGTAGCTCCGTCGCTGACGAACAGAGCAAGTGAGCTGCGTCGACAAGGCACGGGGAAGCGTCGACGGCCGTGCGCTGGGTCAGCAGCGCACCGTCCGTGAACCTACGCGCCCGCAACGCTCAGTGCAGGCCAGGGAGAGATCGGTTTCGGGACAACATTGGAAAAGCAGTTTGTTATCCAGACGCTGAAAAGAGTGAAATCAGAGAGGACATCTAGAACTAAGTAGAAGCCACACTGGGCTACGGCTACAACACTACCAACACAGCCATTGGCCAACGCAGACACCAAATGTGACCAAAGCTCCAGTCCAGCGACAACATTCACGAAAATCTGCCAAAAAGCTACAGTACAGGCACAGTCGACTAGTCAGCTAGCAGTGCAGTCAGTGCAGCTCACTCAGCTCCGACTGTGTACTGACTGTAGACTGTAGTGTAGAGAGAGTGTAGACAACCGACTGTACTGACTCAGTGTAGTCTGTCACTGCCTGTAAGTGTAACTGGCATGGCGGCTGCAAGCCTGCATGCAGCGAGCGTTTTATGACACTCGTACTCCAGCTCTACTCCTGACTCCTGACCTGAGCATGCACTACATCCAGGACCTGAGCCGGCGCATGGCAGACTGGCCCAGCGCGCTATCGCGCAGACTGCTCATTTCATGTCATGACATCAAGAGAGTGAGAGATGCACTTCCCCAGCCAGCAGCCACACTGCTGACCACCACCAGTTATTTGCGGTGTGAGCTAGATAATAATTATACTACATGTACCATGTGTACTGCGCGCAGCTGAGCTGAGTGCTAAAGCGAGGTAGATTTTACGCTGTGAAACGTGTTTTTATGAACAAAAAAATCTTATGTCAGATCCGATAATGCATAATTATAAATGGAAAGTAATAATTCACAGGCATGATGTTCAAAAGGTACCGGTTTACCTGGGTAGATATCTACGATATCGATAGCGCGCGCTAGTCGCTAGGATAGGAAAAGGAGGTCAGACTTCAGACTCAGAGTCAGATGACTCGACAACTCGACTCTGCCCTTGCAGCTTGGCGGATAATGCCAACGGAAAAACTGGCAGACAATTATTATTAATTTTGGCACTTTTTTCTGTTATGTACATATTGTTTCATGCATGCATGTAGATCTACATGTGGATAAAGAAATGGAGCAGAGTTCAAGGAATTGGAAGTGCCTGCCGTAAATTGCGTAAGGTTTTTTTTTCGGCCGGTCGGCTACTATCATTAATTTTCGTCTTGGGGGTTAGACAAGGGGAAGTACTAGTAGATCTACTATTTTACTATTTTACTAGTAGCCATGTAGGGGCGTGAGTCCGCCTTTCGGCATCGGGAGTTGCAGCTCGCTCGACTCGACTCTACCGAGTGAAGAGAACCCACTAGTCTGTGGCACACCTTGATCTGGCGACCTGTGTCGTGGGGATTTTGCAGTGCAGATGTGCGACTGCGGGGCTCGAACCCACGACCTCTCTCGGGTCGAGTAGGGTTTGTCTGGTTCTGTCACTTATTTTCGATCAGATTCTGCCCAATGCTTGGAGTACTGTTATCCACCAAAGGGCTACGACTGAGACTGACTCTGCGTCCGAGGTCACCATGGTCACGTCAGGAAGGCTAAAGAGTAAAGTGTGGCCGCTGACCATGCTGCGGAAGTCAGTAAATCTGATATTATTCGATCGAGCCGCTCAGCATCATGCCAAACTGCCATGTCCATGATAACCATGATTATTATTATTATTATTATTATTAATTTTTGATAGGGCAATCCCCACAGGCCTAAGGCCTTTTGACAGGGTACCCTAAAAAATGAAGAACAGAATTACGGAAGGTATGCAAGGAAGAACTTGAGCGGACCTCCGCTGGGAGGGCATTCCAGCGGTCAGAGCCAAGGGAAGTGACAGAAAATAAACCATAGCGACGTTTGGCTGTCGGAAGAGCAAGGGAAGAGGACACTTGAGAGCGGGTGCGAGAACTAGTGCAGGTAGAATTAGAGCGGAGACAGAAACAGTTAGCAACAAAGACACTAGCCAGATCATGAAGCGCACGGTACGTTAGAACGTACAGCTTGAATTGGTGCCTGACAGACAAGGGAATGATATGGTAGCGGACAAGAACAAGGGAGACATCAGATAGGCGGGGCATGCAAAATACAATACGCAGCGCTCTATTACTAAGTCGGACAACACGGTCATGGAGGGAGGCAGAAAGGCAGTGAGCAAAGGAATTAGACCCATACTCAAGTATGGACTGAATGGAACAGATGTAGAAAGCCCTCTTAGCATCGATCGTTAAATGGTCTCGGACCTTTCTAAACATTCCTACATGTATCTTACAGCCTATTTTACGTTCTAATTGTGCAATGTGAACTCCAAAGGAGAGATGTTCGTCAAGAACTATACCGAGGTATTTCACGTGTGCACTAGGGGTGATGGTGACATCTTCAATCTGAACGTTGACATCGGGGTCAAGAGGTTTCGACTTTGGCCTGAACACAACAAGCTGGGTTTTCGAGGAGTTCAACATAAGACCTCTTGTTGCCAAGAATTCCTTTACTTTGATGATGTCCTCTGTGAGGTCTTTGCATAAGTTCTGGACATTCTTCCCCGCCCTGTATAAAGACACATCATCTGCGTATTGACGGGCTTTGCAGTGTTTGGGCACAGCGGGGAGTTTCCTCACGGACAAGTTGAATAGAAACGGCCCTAAAACAGAGCCTTGTGGAACGCCTCTGTTGCTTGTGTATGGTTGCCCTTGTTGAGTCTTAGTGACCACGCACTGTTGTCTGTTTGTAAGGTAGCTGTGAAACCATTGCAGAGCGACTCCGCCAATACCAATCTCAAGTAGTTCTTGAAGTAACATGTTGTGGTTGACAGTGTCAAAGGCCTTTGACATATCAAGGAAGGCAGCCACTACGTAGTCACCCTTGTCCAAGGCGAGCATCCAATCGTTGGTAACACAAGTCAGCAAGTCTTCGCAGGAGTGGCCTCTGCGGTAGGCGAATTGCTCTGCAGCAGGGAGTCGTAAATACCGGTATTTTACGACTCCCTGCTCTGCAGGGAGATGTTGCAGTGCGGGTGGTGCATTCTGGATGTAGCGTATGAGTTGATCATGCACTATGTGCTCAAGTAACTTTGACATATGGGGGAGCAGTGATATTGGTCTGTAGTTGGAGGAGACCGACTTCAACAAGACCATTATTTTTGATGGTTACCGGTACGGCGGTAGATCTACGCGGTTGACGGGTAATCGTGGCACTGATAATGAATGACACTGGGCACTGGCTGTGACTCGTGTGAGGTCGTGGACTAGGAGATCTTCAGTTTTACTTTTACTTTGACTGATTGTGATGACAGAAGACGATGCATTGCGCCTGCCGAACTTCATACAGTAGTTACTGTTGACCGTGGTGAGGATGATTACGTACAATGACAGTACCGGCATGCATGTTCCTGTGATAACCCGCTCGGACAGCGTTCCGGTTAGTCTCGCCCATGGCTGTGTCGTCTCTAACCCTCGGAACGTTTTGTGACAAGTATAGTCACGGCTGGCATAACGCAACTTCACCCAGTCCTAACCCAACACACACATAACCAACTGATCTCGTCAGAGCAGAGAATATGTTCCTGTTTGGAAGAAGAGCACCGAAAGAACCTCTCGCTAAAAGCAGCAGCATGCCATGATATAACACATCGTAGAAAACAGCAAGCAGCGGCAGTAGCGATAGTACTTGCTAAACATGCAGCTGAACTGCAACTTTGTCCGCTGCGCGGAACGGCGATCGGACACGCACACGCACACACGCACACGCACAGGTCTGCGTGATCTAGAAGCGGCTGTCATCATAAGATACGCAAAGTGTGAAAGGGTATTAGAACGGGGCAAGCCTAGACCCGGCGTCTGGACCGCAACATGTACTTGATTAAAAGCATAGCCAGTCAATGGTCAAGCAGGTGCAATCACGCACATCCACACCTAGCGTACTACTACTATAAAGCGAATTCATAACTACAGGTACATTGCACTGTCTACTGCAAATGCACAGTCGTGCGCTTCATCTATTGACAGCAGCAAAACCTATCATTTTACAGTCTCACTGGGTAGGTGACCTCGCCGGCACACACCGTATATTATATTGTATAATAACTGTTCCAACTACGGTCCGGAAGACACAGTGTGTCCACGTTCTACGCACAGTAGCTATCAGCAGTAGTTAAAAGTTACAAGCCCTCACTCTCGGGCTATGACATCTCCCCGCGCCTTCGAAAAGACTGCCACGTCCTCGTGGCGACAACATTCGGCTTACCGTCGTCTTCTCAACTGGGTTTGCATTCCAAAGTACTGCGGTGGCCGGACGGTCCTCCCAGCTCGAGTCTGAACCGCAATCTGGGCTGGTTGTGGCGGTGGCTGGTTGACTGGTAGCGGGATCTGCACAACTGGTTGGCCGCCAACACCGTCCACGCCGCCATACGTCTCATGCTGGGCATCCTCATCAGAATCCCAATACAACAAGTCTGTAGGGTCCGGCACATACACATCAGCCGGGGGCGTTTCGACAGACTCAGCATCTTCAGGTTCCTCCACCTCACTCACAGCGTGAAGATGGTTAGGCCTTACTCTACATCGTTTTAGCCTGTTCACGTGCACAATCTGCACCTTGACATTGGCCGCTCGTGTATCTCTCACCCGATACACTACGTCTGACAACTTCGTTACTATTTCAAACGGCCCTTGCCAGAGCTTGGAGAACTTCGGAGTAGTCCCCATCGGAACTGCTGGTACCAACAACCATACCAGATCTCCTTCTGCGAATGAAACGGGTACTGCTCCCGAATCATGCAAGTGAGCTTGATGCTTGTGCACGGTTTCCAACTTCTTCCGCACAACTGCATGCACATGCGCTAGCCTTTGTCTCAAATCTCTGACATAGCTAGGCTCGCATAAGCTGACCATCTCATCAGGTGGTAAGCCATAAGCGACATCCTGTGGCAGACACATCTGTCTACCGAACAGTAGATACGCAGGCGTGTAACCCGTACTCGCCTGAGGCGTGGCTCTGTAAGCCATCAAAACCGCCGGCAAATGCACATCCCAATCTCGCTGATGCACATCGACATAGTGAGAAATCATCTTCTCCAATGTCTGATTAAAACGCTCTACCAACCCATTTCCAGCAGGGTGATAAGCCGTCGTCCTGGTCTTTTTAATACCAAGCATTGAACAGACATCTCTGAACAATCTGGAGTCAAAGTTTTTGCCCTGGTCAGTGTGCACACTCTCCGGTGCTCCAAACCTTGCAACAAACTCACTCACAAACTTTGAAGCTATCGTGGATGCATCCATCCGTTTCAGCGGATACGCTTCAACCCATTTGGTAAAATAGTCAACAATTACCAAAATGTGCTTGTTGCCAGCAT